CGAAAAAACAGATATTAAAGATGGAACAAATTACTTTTGACTTAATCTACAACTTCCGTATGTTTGCTTTCGCAAATATACTACATTTTAATTTACCAGTAAACCCATGCTCTATACCTAATTTTCAAAATTCAGAGAAATTAAATTTTCACAGCTAAATACAAAGCCTCCCTAGCTTGACATATGCAAATTTTTTTAATGACAAAAGGAAACTATGTCTAGCCTCCGCACGAGAAAAGGCGCAACAGAACTCTGCACCAAACATTAAGCGACTCTTAAGCTGATTAAAAAAAAACTGCAATTTGAAAATACGAGCTGATTATTTTCAACCCCCCTAAAAAATTACATACCTTGAGTGGTTCTGCATCAAAGAGTGGCTGAAATTAAAAAAATTGTATTTAAAAAATAAGTCGTAATGTATAATAAACTAAACAATACTTAATGTGACATCTCGATTTCGTTTCTAAGCTTTCGAAGAAATCTTCAAAAAAATTTGACAAGGTAATACATTTTGTTAAAATTAATATACTCGCGGATTTTTCACAAGTCAAATTGTATTCTATAACAGTCACGTAGGAGAAAACGCGACGGAAATTAATGCCTGATTCTAAAACTAAAATAAATGTGAAATACATTTGGCGGGATCTCAACTGATAAATTTACCTGAAGGCGATTTTTCAATTCTTCGAAGCTTTCTTCGAATGACGTGCCGGCGATCTCTATAGACATATTTCGTTAAATCTCACCATTTTTCGAGTCCGATCTCAGAATTTACGAAAAATTAATGTACAATACTGAGGTGTCTGTAACCAGATGATTAATAATTTATCTGGAACCATCAAGGGAAAAACCTATGCATTGTAGATTCACCCGGATGATAAACACAAAGACCGCAGATCGTACACAACTTGTGCGGCTTGGAAATTTGCCGCGAACAATAGCACGAAAAGTAGAATCTGATTGGCTGATGAAACAAACAACAAACAACAACTTCTCTTACATGAAGCCCCACGTGAGATAGAATCAAAGATGGCGGCTGCAAGGTTGGAATACGAAGCAGTCGATGCTTCTTCGAATGTGCAGCCCCTTGTTGGTACATTTTTCCCAAGACTACTTTATTTTAACATTGTTTAGGTCGTAAATTCCCACAATATTATGAACGATACTAGTTAGGTGTAACGGTGACGCCGTTTATGTGGCAATCATGGTTGTGTCTTGTGGCTCAAAGCGCCTTGATAAACTTAAAGTTTAATACTCGATATTCGACCTTTTTGAGCTTAAACAGTATTATGTTGATATTTCAAGGATTTGTTCAGTTTTTTATATTTTCGATGATACAATGAATCTGTATGTTCTTACAAGTGCAGCCATGTAGAATGTACAGAACTGCAATGTTTTCTTCCTTCAGTCAATTTCACCAATGGAAACTTAAAGCAAAGCAGTGGGAGTAAAAGGATACGGTTCGGTTGTTATCAGTGGGCAGATAGAGGAGATAAAAGAAAAAAACGGAGGAAAACTTTGGTATGCCATCAAAATATGAGAAAATATTTGGTATTTATATAAATGTAAAAGGCATTCTCTGGGTTAAATTTTCTTTGAAAGGATACCACCCCAATTTCTTAGCCTCCAGCCCAAAGCTCTTTTTGTTCTTACATTGTTGGACACATTTCTTGAAAGAGGATTGAATTGACCTTTACCCTTTGACCCCACGAGTGACCAGCATTTAATTTGTCTTTACATTATCACCCCTGAATCAAACATTAACTTCACAAGAATGAAGGAAATGAAAAAGAAGCTCTTGATTGTCAAACAAATTCTCCTTGTTAGCATCTTAGGAATGTTTAAGAACAGTTTAGAGAATGTGCATACTGATATTTTAGATGTAAAGGGTTCATTTAGCATGCTGGACCTTAAAAAAAAAATCCAAAAGCAATATAAAGGGGTCCTTGAAGCAGAAATCTGGTATTGGGGGTTACTGTCAGTATCTCTGAGTAACATACATCACAGGCAGGGAGAAAAATATTCATTCTCATACTGCTCTTGTGTTGAATTGTGGTCGGCTCTTAGATTGCAGAAACAAATGGTATGGAATACATTGGTCACAACTTTGGGCAGTTTTCAAGATCAAATAGTCTTTGCAAGTGAGTAAAAGTTATTCTACAGATCAGAACAGCTGTATTATGATTGGCTAGTTGTGGATGCTTTGAAGGGGTCTGTTAGATGTGATAGCTGGCAGCCCCCGGAGGTAAGATGAAGCAAATCCTGTTTTCTGATTGGCTACCCAAGTGGGTAAGATGGACCCATCTTGCCCACTCGGGATTAATCCCTCTCAGGTTTATGGTGCTACAAACACAGTTGGCTTTGTTTCCTGGCTCTTGAAACAAATAAGTCATTCTTGATTCTTATTAAAGTGAAATTTCTTTGCTATATAATAAATTCTTTATTGACCAAGCTTACTTGGTAAAGATCGCTGTACATTATTCTCATTCTTTTTTTGGTGTTTTTATGGACCTTGCCTTTATCTTGATCCTTAAAAAAAGCGAAAAAAAAGAACTCGGCCAATATCCAGACATCTTGACTTCACGCTTGGTCCATAATGCATGTGTATAGTCAGAATCCATCTTCACAAAATAAAAATTATCTTCCATTTTATGAAGGAAAGAATTGTCACTGATAGAGCTGCTAAAATAGTATTCTGTAAAAAAGAAAGTCAAACATTGTCCAAACATTTCCAAAACAATTGTTCATTATGCCTTTAATAAGACATTATGTTTTGAGCTGATGGAAATTGCTGACAAAACTTATTAATTTTAAAATATGCTGTAGGTATGTTCTTGGTATTTACAATGAGAGAACAGAAGTAATGAAGATTTATGATACTGAGATGGTCACACTTCAACCAAAAGTCTTGGGTAATAACAACTATCACTATTTACTGAATGATCATATATTTTTATGTAATGAAAGACAAAATACTGTAAATCCTCTGGTAACCCCCCTCTTTAATAAGCCACCCCCCTCTAATAAGCCTCCCTTCTTTAGAGGAAAAAATTTATTTAGGGAGAGAAATGATTAACACTTCATCATTTCACTGGTAATCAAGCTATAGTGTCTAGCAAAATGACAGCCTGCTTAATCTCTTGTGCTCAATTAATTATTAACTACAGTTGTAGTTATTTGTTTTTTGGTTTTTCCTCAATACCCAACATTGGGCAAAATGATCTCATTAGTAGAACATTACTTTCTTTTGAATTTTGAGAAATCACATTGAATGTGTCATTGATGATTTTCAATAAAATGCTGCAAGTTATCCATAATGTTTGAGGTTGTGATAGTGATGTAAACTTTTTCAGACGCTACAAGTGCTGAAACAAACCAAGAAGAAGATGAGGAGGATGGTAAGATTGATCTTACCTTTCTCCAAAAGGTTTGTGAACGTGATCATCATTCAACTCATTGACAATAATAATTTTGAAGGCATGACATTTTCTCCATGCTTAAGATGAATAAAATACCTTCTTCTTGTAACATTAGTCTGTATTACAAATACTGATTAGCCCTTTAACTCCCAGAAGCGATTAACATGTAACTTCTCCCAATGATGTCTATTCACTATCCAGCAAACAGGTAATGAGAATACTCAAACTTATCGGGTAGAAGTTGTTAGCTTGATCTAACACCAACCTCTCAAATTCTCTGATTTTACAAGAAAATGTGTAGGAGCTAATTGGGAGAATTAACAATCAGATCTTGGAAGTTGCAGGGTGAACTAAATCAGGATCTAAAGCTGTCAATATTGCTGTAATTGTGACTGGCTTGTTTGGCCCATATTTAGAGGGACCTCCTAACAGAAGCTTTCGGAGGTAAAAGAAAGAAAAGAGCCATGGCTTCTAGAGAACGAAACAGAGTGGACAAAAATGAGCTGAATGAAAAAGTTTCTGATGTTTTACAGTCATTAGCTAAGGAACCAATGGATACAACAGGTGTGTGAATTATGTGACAGTAATTTTTCTACATCAGGAGACTCCATAAAATTGAAAAGCCTTTAACCTCTCATAGCCAAAGGCAAGAAAATTTGCAGAAACCACTTTATACATATGATCAGTTCCCAGGGAGTTCTTGAAGTAAGCAAGAGAATTAATTAATCTGCTTTCTGTTTCTAATTTCTACAAAACATGAGAAAGAAAGTTACACATGAAATCATTTTGTTGTTCATTTATGATAATTAATTTTATAATTTTTTTTTTTTTGGTCTCATTGCTTTCCATTTGATTACAAAGATTCCAGCACTGTAGTCGGCAGAGGATTATGTAATACTTTGTCATCATTACTCAGCAATTTTACAAGCGGTCAGTGTGCATTTTGCTGATGTTTTTGAAGACTAAAATGAAAGAAAAATTGCACGGTGGCTCTGATTATCATCTTATTTAATAGATTAAATGAAACTTTGGGACAAGGAAAGGAAACTTGGATGTCAAATGAAATAACCCTTTTTACTCCCATGAGTGACCAATACACAGAATTTCCCCTTACGATATCAATACAATATGGAGCAGACAAGTGATAAGAACAAAGAAGAATATCAATTAGGGGTTTACTTGTTGATCTAATGCCAAGTTCTCCGTACTAACCTCATAAGAATTGTATGGCAGACAGTAAGGAGAATTACTGAGATGATCTTGGGAGTGAAAAGGATAACATTGGGTAAAAATAAAAATCCTTTCTTCACCATAATCACAGAAAATAATAACAAGAATTATGATAAAACTGCTTGAAAATCGAAAAAATGTGTTAAAATGTCTAATAAAAATGTAAGAAAAACTAGAGGATACCCACTATGATAACGATAATTCACTCTAATCATCAAAAATATTTACAAACAAATTAAGGTAAAATCCTTAAAAATCGAGAAATACATGAAAATGTCGACTGACATTGGGTAAATGTGCATAATATTTTTTTATTTGTTGTGTTGATTGCAGATGCAGGTGCAGAGCAGCAGCAATCCTCCATTCCTCCATATAATTTGAAGGCTGAGACAGCGGCTGATGTATATAAATTAGATGATAGTATCCTTTTGAATGTTTTGTTTTTGCTCTGACCTATAAATTATAAATTTTAAAAAGTACCCTTTTGAATTTTCTACAAAATTGTTGTGTTTGCATTTTCTGTTTTCTGCTCCTTCTTCAAACCCTTCAAACTCGATCTCCACAATAATCCTTTCGTCAGATATTGTTCTCTGGTTATTGTGATCAATTATGCAAAGATACTATTAATGATGATAAAAGCTAAAAGAGAATTTTTAAAAATACCTTTTGAAATTTTGTACAAAATTGTTGCATTTGCATTTTTCTGTTTTTTCGCCCCTTCAAATTCTCCACAATGATCCTTTCATCAGATGTTGCTCGCTGATTACTGTGTGTGATTTTTCTGTCCTAAAAAATGAATGATGAGGTAAAGTGCACCTTAAAGATGCCAGATCTTTAAGGTGCATAGGGCCTCACAGAATACCACTCCCCAGTGATGTGAGCCCCCTGTATAAAGATTGTCATTATTGTCATTATTATTATTATTATTATTATTATTTGTTGCTCAACTATCTCCATTTTTTCGGTGGGTGTACTTGCCCACTTCGTTTTTCATTTATCACTTCTAGTTACCTTTTTTTAGTTGTCCTTCTCTTTGAAAGAATCAAAATTTTCTACACTGCTAAACAAATAAAAAAAAAATTTGACATGGATTCTTTGAATGGCTTAGAGTTAAACTCTGCAAAACCCACAATTTTGAAGTATTTTTCACCATAGATGACTGCAGCTAAAAAGCTATAAAAAAAGGAACAATTGCTTATAGGTAACAAATTTTCTTTAACTCGTAAAAGTTATTACTCCTTTGGAGTATGAAGCACTACAAGGAATTTCACAGGAAATCAAGAATGCAGACAAAGAGAAAATTGACAAGTGGAGAAAAGAAAAGAGGTACAGTGCACAGGTCTCAAAGTTTCCAAAGGCATAATATGATTTAAAAAAAAAAAAAAAATAACAGTTTAGCTATCAGGAAAAAATAGTCCTGATTATTACTGACAGTAATAATTAAAAAAAAAAAAAGAAAGCTAGCTGGCTATGATGTTTGTAGGTTCACTTCACATCTCATCTTGGACAACTAACAAGAAAAAAAGAGTTTTTTCACAAAAAAAATTGATGCAATTTTATAAAAATGTTTGTTTCACTTTTTATTAATGTCAGATCATAAACACTAAGTAACAAAAACAAGGCAGCATGCTGCATTACTGCCAAAAAAGGTCACCAAATTGTTAACTTATGGTACAAGTTAGTTAAGTCACCAGAATTTTTGTTCTGCTCACTGTTGCAGTGGATATGGTCACAGCTTAGAGCATTGCAGTAGCATGTCACTTTATTAACTGAAACTATTTCATTTACTACAATATAATTACAAGTAAAATATATCTGTTTCATTCAACAAGACAGGGTGTTGTTACAGTAATGCTATTCACAATCATAAATAGTGACTGTCCTCTAAAGTACCTCCCTCGACAAGATAGAAACACTGCCTCTTGAACAGATGCATTGAATTCATTAACTGTCAAGAAAGCTTAATTATAGTAATGATGCCTCCAATGAATTTCTCAACAGGTTCCCTGAATATGTACTACAGCATATCAGTGTGATGTCTGTCAACTCTGCGAAGAGATCTCATCAATCATGTTGCCTTCTGTATTTATCATACTTGTTGACACTGTACAGCCTCACCCATCAGGAAATCAAAAAGAAAGGTAAGCAGAGAGGAAATGTGAGCTGATATTTGTTTACCAAACATTCTGGCAAGAGGCAATGTCCTAAGGTTACCGTGCACCTTCAGGGGTGTCTCGCGTGCAAACGATGTAGCACGTCTGGTTTAAACTGTAGTTATCTAAACCCCTATGTCAAATTAAAGCTTATAGGACTGGCTATCAGACTATACCAAAAATTTTGAAAAAAAAATGAATTGTCGAATTTTCATGACTTCTAAATGCGAGCACCTGAATCACCTTTTGAACGTTACATGTCAAAGCGAATTTTGTTTTTCGCTTATTTAATGTGGTTCTCCGTTTCTGGGGCCAAAGCGCTAAAAAAACGCGTCTGCGATTTGCCATATTCAATTTCAGTGAAAAGTTACAGAACATTTTTGAAATGGGATTTGAAAATTGTGGAGTGATTGTACAAAAATCGCTCTTGAAAAAAAGTATTTAGAAATAAAAAATTCTGAGACACAGTTGTATTGTTTATATGTAAAACTAGCTACTGTCAAAATTTGAGAGCAATCGAGCAAATTCCCTTTGACTTATAGCTCTTAAAAGTTGATTCAGGCTCTCGCATTTAGAAGTCATGAAAAATTCGACAATTAATTTTTTTTCAAAATTTTTGGTATAGTCTGACAGCCAGTCCTATAAGCTTTAATTTGATATAGGGGTTTAGATATCTACAGTTTAAACCAGATGCACTAAATCACTTGCACGCGAGACACCCCTGAAGGTGCACGGTAACCTTAATAAGTGATTGAATTCATATACTATATCCACTTGCATAAATTATGTGACATGAAAGTTAACTCTCTGACCCCCTAAGATTGACTAGCTCCTTATATTAGCACCCCTGGATCAAACATTAAGGAGAATAAAGGAAATGATCACCAACTAAAGAAGCTTTTGATTGTTGTAGTGTATTGATTACACATGCACTTATCTTAATCTTATCTTATTGAGCTCAGTATGGGTTCTAAGGTGAGCACTTCATACTTAATTCAGTAAATGTACTACTTCCATTACAGTAATCTTACTGTACTGGAAATACCTGCGTGCTGTAAAATTACTATAAGTCAGTAAACTCTTCTACTTCTATATACAATACAATTTTCTTTATTTCAAGAGGGTAAATACATGATTAACCCAGTGAAGAGTTTTCTAACACATGGCCCCCTGTAAACCCATCCATCCCACCCAGGGGAGGACATCCATCACACAGTAATCTCGTGTGTGGGAAATTAACGTCTCCTATATGTGTAATGTGTTTGTTAATAAAGTTCAGTTACCCTTTGGCAATGAAGGAGAGAGTCTCTTTGTGTCTGAATGGCAACAATACAAATGTTACACAAATTCTCTTCATCAGTACCTTAGGAAATGTATGAAAAACAGTAGAGGGAGTCTGCAATACTGATGTCAGTGTCCAATACCAAATGATTTACTTATTTTAGATCCTTTACCTGGGGTACCAGCTGGAATTAAGGAGAAACTGTTGTCCTCATTTTCTTTAAAAAAGGGAAAAACCAGGTATGCTATGTAGAGAACAAGTCGTCTCTTTTCTGCAGTGATATAAAACTGAGGAGAAGTACTTTGCAGTGCTTGATGTCAAGAATTTTAACGCTTGTCAAATCTCTCAAAACCACAGAGATTTGGTTAGAATCAGTATTCTTCAGAGACTATTCTCGGTTGTTTTTGAGCTGGTATATATAGCTAAGTACATAAATATTCCATCCACTGGTGAGCAACTTATCAAACTTCCTAGCTTCATTGAGTCAGTGACATAATCACAGGTTTACATTTTAGCTCACTTACTGGACTAGCAATGGGGAAAAGCAACAAGCAGGGCTTTGTGGCTTGTAAGACAAAGCTGATCAACTGTCCACCTAGCTCTCCTCTCTCTAACCTAACAACAGTTAACTGATAAAATTTTTTTTCTAACCATTTTCACTGCATTACAGCAGTGGGGTAGGACTAGAATGGAACATATACGAACCATGCGAATAGTCTACCCAATAAATCCCACCATCTCACCCCAGGGGAGGACATCCATCACACAGTAATCTCGTGCGTGGGAAATTAACGTCTCCTACCCCTAACCCTGCAGGAGATGGGACCTCCATTTATTCGACCCTATCCAAGAAGACTAAAATATCTAACCATTTCTTGATGTTATAGAAAGGTAGCATATTCTTGTCAATTGTTTTAAGACCTTGAGTGTTGGTCCGGCCGGGGCTTGAACCCTCGACCTCCCGCACAACAGTCCAGCGGTCTATCCATTGAGCTAACCGTAACAAGTAAGGGCTAATGTCAGGTTCAGGATACTGACTCTGATCTGTTTTAGTAAGTGATCACTGACCGAAATTTGTTTCTTTGACCTGCAGGGCTATTCCAAAACGACTAAAGGACAAGTTAGTGTCGTACATATTAGTGCTGGCTTTGATGATAGATGAATTCTCATTAGACTTTGCAGTTATCATGAAAGACCTCAAGATGCCCATTCCAAGGTATTGAAAACATTGCTCATGATATTGTCGCTGAAAGAGTATTTTACTTTATGGGAAAACTAGCCCATAACAGTTGTGTCAAAGAAGGCTGGAACTCTGAGAGGGTAATATGCTTAATATGGTTTTTGTTGTTTTTACAGATTAACAAGTCATCTGAAAGCAGTTGGCTGTATGGTATCATCATCGAAAGTGAAGTTAGGAAAGAAAGAAATGGGTGACAGTAGCAGTATTGTAACAAAAACCGCTGTTCTTAAGGTTCCTCTTCCTTCCTATTTCACATCACCAGGAAAACCCAATATTTACACCAGAAAGTGAATCCCTTATTTGTCAACCTTTTCCCATGTTAACAGAGTATGAGAAGTAGAAGTGATGTGAATAAATTCGAAGATCGGTAAGAGCTGTGGTTTCTCTGTTTTGTTTTTGGTTTTTGTTTTTCGTTGTTGTTGTTGTTGTTTTTTTTTTCAAAGAGGGTTCTCCTTGTAAGGATTATTTTATTGGAAAACAGCAAAGAGATTTTGTAGTAAATCGTTTATTAAAAAAACCACAACTTGCTGCTATAAGCTGAATTCCTTGGGTTATATGCATCTATTAATTTTCTATTTACAATTGTTGTTTAATTGCAAAGTGCATTATGAAAGTATTTCTAAACCTCTTTGTTTTCACATTCGGGATTGAAAACATACGCCTAGTCCTAAAATTATATCTCTCACTGTCATTGCGAGCGGGCAGCAGGTCAGCTAGTTTATGCTGGTCACTCTCTACTATTTGTTTAAACAGATTGCTACATAATTCCTCACGCCTATGGAAGAGTGTTTCTAAACCCGCATCTTCCAGGGCCTTGCTATACGAAACCTCTGGGAATAGGATCCCTCAAGACTCTTTTCTGAACTCTCTCTATTTGGTCGGACAAATAGGCTGGCAAACTAGTATGGAAGGCCTGACATGTATATTCCAGAACGGAACGTATGCACGCACGATAAAATAGAATTATAACAAAGCGAGCAGAGCCGCGAAATCAAATTCAGTATACGTAAGCGTGCTCAAAATCCCGATAGTGCACGCTGATAGCGTGAGCAAATCGCTTCGCCAGAAATTTTTTTTTTCGCGCGAGCGGCCATTGTTAGCGCGGGAAAAATAATATATTTCGCGACAATAATGGATACAAACCAAAATGATAGCTATTTTTGCTTTAACGATCATGTTGCTGACATTTGCAAATCTTCATTTTATCATTTGCGAAATATTAGCTATATTTCAAGAATATAGAAGAAGCTAGAGTTGCCCTCGGCTATTGCCTCGGGCAACTCTTACGCTTCTTTCGTGCTCTCCAAACTTCCCACGTGCTCCATAACTCGATAGTGCACGCTAAAGCATGAACCAATTGTTAATTAGAGACTTATGGTCTATGCCAGCACGCTTGAGTTGCTAAAGCAAGTAAATTCGTCGAGACGCTTTCATAGTAACATTATCTACATGATCGTTCCATTTAACTAATTCCTTACAGTGACGCCGATTTTTGTGGTTGTGACTTGATTCTGTCCTTAAAATCCTTAAACCCTGTTGTGTTGACGGTTGAGTGCAATATGGAAACGTTAGTGTAGGTGAAAGTATTTTTCTTGAAAACGGACAACACGTTACCTGAAAACACGTCACTGTGGTGGGGACCTTAATGATGCTAATATAGCTTGTTTTGGTCGCGCGCCTTCATCAAAGGGAAGTTGTGCTAGGCAGTGGATATTTGAGAGTTTTTTTCTTTATTTGGATCTGAAATCTCCAAAAAAAAAAAAAAAACCTAAAAAAAATACGTCAAATTGCGCCAAAAGCAACCGCCATCCGCCCCCAAGGTCGTTCCCGTTTAAAAGTCGTCCTCTCTTAATAGTGGTCGGGAATGTGTATTTCTGTATTAGTCCTTTTCATTTTTCTTTAGATATCTCGTCTTGTTCTATTCGCACACAATTTCGTTTACTATCTAATTTTAATTAATATTCATTTATTGTTTCTTTAAATATATTATTCAAGAACCAAAAAATCACTTTACTTCTGATAAAATACTATATACTCAACTATAACTCTTATTGCGCGATTTTGTCTCCTGCGATGCTGGTAGGTGAATAGTACCTGATAATCACTTTCGATCTAGCCAATCAGCGGGCGCGATGATATACCACTACTAATGCAGGTCTTTCCACTAAATAAGTGACGTTAAAATGGTCTAAAATACACGAAGCTAAAATAGTCAAACGTTGTTGAATCCCACCTCTCGTTTCTAAGTTGCTGCTATCGAAAAGACGATGGAGCATGCAGTTTCCCAACGAACAGGGACAAGAAAAACAACGAGTAATGGACAACGTGTAAATCAACAACACGTCAATATTGACAACGTGTCAAGGGACAACGTGGAAGTGACAACAGCAACAATCATACCAGAAGAGACAACTGAAAAGTAAATCCACGATAACGTCATTTCCGCCAAAAGCTTTTGTTCATAGTAGGCCTCTAGGTTATTCCTTAGAGACCGGCTCAGCACGCACGTCATCTTCCATATTCTAGTTGCAGAAGTCTCTCCCTTATATGCGGCAATTTGAAGGTGACGACCCGAGGGTGACGACTTAGAAAAGGCGACAACGTGTGACCTTTTCCTGAGCTTCTGTAACCAGGTGAATGAGAACTTTGGAGACGCGAAGTTAACCGCAACATGGTGACGCCTTCGACGAAATCACTGTCCCTGGTGCTACTTTTAGCTTTACTATTCGTTAAGTCGGCTTTTTCAGCACGTATTGTAGGGTTTCATGCCATAGGAGGATCACAATACATTAACACGAGAAACGTCTTAGAGGAACTGGCCTCTAGGGGACACGAGGTGAACCTCTTTATACGTAACATGAGTCTCGCTGCACGCTTGCATAAGTTTATCGCCCTGATACAATGCTGATCTCATTCAAAATTTTTTTGTTCTGTTACAGATCTATCCAACGAAGACACTATTAATGATGATAATAGTTACAATGATTGCTATACTATTAAACAATCATTTTATTATTATTGATAATAATAGTAATAATAATAATGATGATTATTATTATTTTTAATAGTATCGTTTCAATTTTATTAGGATTTTTTTTCTTGATTTTGGGCACCTGCAGACAGTTTAAGCCTTTTGCCCCAAGGGATGACCAAAGTGATAAATTTCTCCTTTCAAGATCGATACACAATCAAGCAGAAAGGTGGTTTATGTAACCATGTATTTGATTCTTAAAGGTTGTCTTGGTTGTTGCATCATCGTTTGAAAAATTCAAACCGAGTGAGAAAGTGCCACACAAGATCTACCAAGTTCCATACAAACCAGGCTTCATGGAGAATACTATAGTGCCACTTGAACTGGAAGGGAAACTGCTTGAGCTGTTGTTTAAAATGAAAGATGTCTTTCGAGTTATGTGTGAAAGTGCTTTAACTTCCTCTGAAGTCCTGAAGGAGTTGCAGAACTGTGATCTCCTCATTTATGACAGTTCTTCTTTCTGTGCTGCATTACTTGGCGAACGCCACAACATTCCTCTCACTGAGTTACTGCCTTTGTCTCCAAACAGCCCAGCTGCTTCTTTTCACATGATACCCATGCCACTTTCCTATGTTCCTCTTCTTCTTACGGGATTTACTGATAAGATGACTTTTGTGGAACGTGTTACAAATTTGGCATTTTACTTTGGACAAAAACTATTCATTAGCATGGCAATTAACAAGCCAATGAATGCCCTTAAAGTAAAGTACAACATAAAAGTTGAAAGGAGCTTTGAAGAAGCCATTGCCGATGTAGAACTGCTGTTGATATTAGCAGATTTTGCATTGGAATATCCCCAACCTCTATTGCCAGGTAGGAAATGTTAAGGTGGTTCACAGCACTTTTACAGCATTTTTCCTTTCTATCAAACTTTTACAACCACCAGCTATTACAACTCTTCACCAGTTACTGGTAAAATGTTGAATGACATATTTTTAATTTAATAATTTCCCATTTACCAGTGAGGTCGGTATAGTTGCACTTTCACCAACTTTTGGTAGTTGAAAGGGTGTAAGTACTTTATCCCAAGAGTTAATGGCACCTGGTTTAGCTTAGAAGATTTCATGATCATGGTTGGCACCCAAGGATTAGGGAATTGAATATATTCCAAAGATTTTTCACAACCAGAGTTAGTCAAATAAAGCATTATATAAGATAAAAATATCATTCCATTACATATCTTCAACAGGCCAAATCATGATTGGACCACTGAATGTGAAAGATGCTCAATCTCTCCCCCCTGACTTAGAAGAATTTATCAGCAATTCAGGGGTTCATGGTTTTATTATTTGTTCCTTTGGCTCAATGGTGGCTTCAGTCCTTCAAAGGGAGAAAGTAGACATGCTAGCTACAGCATTTGGAAAACTGAAACAAAAAGTTATTTGGAGACTTAAAGGTATTTATAGTAACTGAAAATGTATTTTCTATTTGCTCTTACAACCTGAGTTACTACTTCAAAAGTAATGTATTTCATCAATTGATTTGTTTGATGCATTTGTCATTCTATCCCTCTGTGTATTAAACAGTAACAGGTAAATGCTTACTCTTAACAAATTAAAGTCATGCTAACTGCAAGAAACTTCATTGAATAAATGCTGATTCTCAGGAAATGTAGCAGACAAAATTACTGTAAGCCAATTGTAGTAAGCAATTAGTGCCAACTGCATGCAAGAAAATGGCAACAGATGCAACGGGAAAGCAAATTGGAGTAAATGAGAGAATTTAAAAAATCAGCAGCAGACAAAAATTTATGTTATACAAGTGACTCAATCTCATGACTTGGAGTTGGGTTTGACTTTCTGATATGAATCTATTTTCTCTCTGGTAGGCTATATCCCATCCAATCTTAGCTCAAATATCAAAGTAATGGACTGGTTACCCCAGAGTGATCTCCTGGCTCACAAGGACATCAAAGCTTTTGTCTCTCATGTTGGACACAACAGTCTTTACGAGTCTGCATACTATGGAGTTCCATTAGTGGCATTTCCACTGGGTGGAGACCAGGATAGTAATGCTAAGAAAGCAGAGCATTTGGGCCTTGGTCTAGTTGTGGATCATAAGAGCAACAATGCTGAGAAGCTGTTTGAAACAATTGAGCAAGTTATTGTTGAATCACGGTGTGTACTGTGATACAATTTGTAAAATCAAATATTTATCTTGATCAATACCTAGATTTTAGTGGTAGTTATTTTCTTAATGATAATGCTTTGTTCTCATTTTGGGATAGTCCATGAGTAAATGGGGGTTGTTTCTTTATATGTGCAGCTTTTAATAGGACCAGTTGGTTGGTCTTTTTTGGTACCAGGGAAAGTCACATGGCAATTAACTTCCACTGAAAAACTTTTACTTGAAATTTATTCTTTCTGCAGATATAAAGCAAAAGCAATGCACATTTCAGGTCTTTTGAGGGATCGTCCACAAACACCTCTTCAAAAAGCCTGCGACTGGATAGAATATTCACTCAGACATGATGGAGCTCTGCACCTCCAAGCTCAAGTGTTTAACATCCCTTGGTACCAGTACTATTTACTTGACGTCATAGCTTTCCTTTTTGCAGTAGTAACTGTCACTGTCATTGTGATAGGATTAATGTGTAGATTTTTGTGCCAGGCGTGCCGTAAAAAGGGCAGTGGTAAAACCAAAAAGGATTAATGTTATTTTTTGTTATTAATCCACTCCACTTGTGTCTTAAGATGATCACCCTCTCTCGCACAACCCCCCCTCACCCCCCAAACGGAATGGGCACATAAGCACCAGAAGCTGAGCAAACCATCAAGGTCTTTCTGCCATGCAAGTATAACACATATGTAATTGCTAACTTGTTCAGCAGGGTCAATGATGTTTTAGCAAGTACCAGCCTCATGTGAAAAAACATTTAACCAAGGAGAACTACTTGAGGTGTAGTGCTTCTTTCAGTTTTCACTTGGCTTAGAACAATTAATGCACATTTGGAACTTTTACAGGAGGTCATCTCTCTCTCAAGAAGGTCTTGACATTCAATTACTCCTTGAGGAAAATTGTTAGCCTTTCTTGGCCTTTAAGCAAACATACAGATGTAAAGTTCCACCTTAAATTTCATTGCATTTAACACTTATTTACTCCTGGCAGTCAGTGAGAGCCAGTAGCCAGCTAGTCCACCATCTTTTACCAGCTTCTTTCAACTCATTTTACCTTAAGTGTTGATGAAAAAGTTGTTTAACTACTGAAAGACCACAGTGGAAATAGTAAAGCCACCATTTCCCAGTTTTGATTAGAATTGAATGCATAATTTACCTGTAACAGGGTTAGGTGAATGAATCAGTTCCATGCTCAGAAATAGCTTAACAGTTCACGCCAACTATGTGGAATGTTGGACATTCTAATTGAAAAGTTTCAAGTCTTGCGTGTAATCTGAAAGAACAATATGGCCTCTTCTATATGCTGTTCACCTAATATTTCTTATTTACCTTCTACTCTCAACACTTATTGACAGCCTTGTGTATTACTAAGCTTATAAGTCACCAATAAACAGTTATGCTAAGCAGTTTATTTACAACCATTGGAAAGGCACAGAAACTCTGCACGTTTTTACAAGAACCCATATTTTAAATATTGAAATACCATACTGTTACCAGTATGTTTAATATGCAAATCCATCCAAATATCAAAGTAATTCTTCTTACAGAAAACAAACATATGGTTGATGATCAGACTATAACAATTAATCATATAGTGTGATCACACAAATAATCACATTACAAGACAGACGGTACGCAATTCCCAAAATTGAAAGGGATCTCTGTGGGAGTGAGTAATGTAATGCAATAATTTTGCATCAAAACTGAGCTCCAGATTGTTAAAGCATGAACAATGGAACCTAGAACCTGGCCTTCTGATTTTTACTTGTGGAAGTGATTATAAAATACCTTCAACTACAGAAAGAATTTCAATAGAGGAAGAACCTAACTATTGAACATTTGCACGAATTTGGGGTCTTAACTCATCAGAAGTAAGATACATTTTTGAAGACTTATGTAAAGGGATCAAAAGATTTTTCTTCCCATAAGAAGTCGTTCATTTCCTATACCTTTGAAAAAATTTACAGACCTATGTACCGTACTTATTGGACAGTCACAATAAACTTATCAAAGTATAATTGATAACCGGGCTCCCATTTAGATTTAATAACGAGTATGAGAAACAAAAAGGAACACTTGTGAGAATGAGAGAGTCGCAGACCCTTCCTCAACCGCATACTCAAATCCCCTGCCTACATCCCCAAGCTGTGTCATATTTCCCATCTTCTCCCACAACACCCCAAGTGCATGCTTATTTATATCCAAACCATGACGGTACATTTGAATTACTTCATACACCATAGTTAAACTTGTGTTTAGCAAAGCCTAATGAAACTAAAGATGGGATGAATTTGATAGCTGTCTCCTAGTTTCTCTCCTTGCGAGTTTAGGACGAGGATGCAACAAACAACTTAAAAGACTTCATTTCTAGGTTACAAAAAGAAGAAGGAAAAAAAGGGATTATTTTAAGTATAAAAGTTAAGTAATTTTGAAAAGCCTGAATTATGTTATCCTAAATTTTATAATGCAGAGATTCTGTAGATGTGGGTCATTTCACGAGCGGTGTCACTCTGTCGCTATCATCTGAACAACTCATCTCCTTATATTTTTTAACTTCCTCCATATAAGCTTTCCATGCTGAAGATTTGTTTTCTTCCTGTTACAGAAAAACAAACAGACAAGGATTGAAAAGTTGGTGATAAAACCATATTCGTCCATAATGTTCGCTTAGTAAAGTATATTCTATATACAAGGCTAAAAGATTTGGAAAAAATTATTAAAATGTGTGAACCAAACATTTCCAACCCTGACAATGGCAGACAGCCGAAAATGTTTGGTTCAAACATTTTAATAATTTTTTCCTAACCTTTTAGCCTTGTATATAGAATAAAACCATATTCATTTCTACAGGGATGGTTCTCACTCATCTTTTTAACCCTTTGACTCCCTGAAGTGATATAATAGTATTAATAATAATAATATAATAATAATATTAATATGTAACTTCTTATAATATTGATACATTATCCAGCAAACAGGTAATAATGAGAGAATATTGACCGGCAGTAGAGCATTTTGAATGGTTGATTTTAGTTATTGGCCCTCTGACTGCCCGAGTCGTGTAATAAGAATACTTCAACCTATCAAGTAGAAGTTGTTATTATCCAACTACACTCCATAGAGTATAAATAACGCCATAGACGAGTACAAATATCACATGGTATTTGTACTCCAGAGAATCAGTTAAACAGGTTTTCTTCCATCGTGCAAGTGAAGAATTGAAGTTATGAAAAAAAAATGGCAGGCAATTTGAATCATTTTTCTGATGATGAAGAGTGGAATGGCTGGCAAATATAAATCCAAGTTTATTAGATGAATCAAATGAAGAAAAACAGCTAGATGACCAGGAAATTCCTTCATTTATTGAAGAAAATAGAAACAACACAACAATGTGCCAGTTCCATTCCGCTTCGCATAGTTATGTCACACATTTCCCGTAAATAAATATCTGCGGAATTCGCCCGCACTTAAATAACAATTTGGCATGTTGGATAATAAATAAGTTATTAGACGTTTTGTTGTGTAGTATTGCTGAGTATTTTTACTCGTTATTTGTATTTTGACTCACCCTACGGGCTCGTCAAAATTCAGCACAACTCATAAAAATACTCAGTGATATATTTATTCTTGATCTAGCTAAAAGGGGAGAATTAACAGTTAGATCTTGGGAGATAAAAGGTTAAGCAATATTTCAGTAGCCAAAGGGGAAGTCATTTAAAAAAGTTAAGAGAAACAAATAGGAACAATGGCAGAATCAGGGGTTTCATTAATGTCTTCAGCAGGAAAGCAACTGGTTTTCGCAGGTAGGCAAAACTTTTTGAACTGAACTTCTTTATAAGATAAACTTTCCTCTAGATTGTCAAACCAAGTGGGCAAAACCGTCCTCACAACTGGTCAATTTGCCTGGTGCCCAGCCCCTAATCAATCCCCTGCAGAATAATGGTCAAGGAATGGTTTACAACCTGACCTTGATGGCTGAAAATCAATGGTTCTGAGACATAAGAAGGGTTCATTGGACACTGGAGTCCTGATCGAAATGTCTGGGTTCTAGCCATGCACAAGTCAGTGTGTCACACTCTTGGCTAAAACTTAACCAATGGTAAACACCACAGCATACACTATTTAAGTTATGAATGTATGTGGGAGGTTGCAAAGCACGAAATAAGTGTAAGAGTCACATGAAGCATTAGACGAGAGCGACTCTGGCTTCTTGAGTAACCTGCTGTAAAACTGCAAGACCTACAGTCTCTCCTGGTTAAAGTAACTGATTAGCAATAGAATCTACTACGTCAATCTTGTAAAGAGACTTCATCTTTTAAGTGAGATTAGAACCAGAGGCCCTAAGGGACAGACCATTATTTTTCTGGAGGGGTGGTATGAGAAATTTTCTTCTGCAAACATTTTTTTTAAACATATACATCTCCCCAAACATTTTTTTCCAACATTATCTTTGTGCAAACACTGTTTTCTTCCATTTTTTTTTCCATGTTCTCTTATTTGTGGTAAATATTTCTGTTGCTCTATTGAACTATTTTACGAAGAACATAATAAATAGTGCTATTGCCACTTATTTTGTCGATATACTTTGGTAATAACATTTTGTAATATCTTACCTCACTTCTCTGCAAACATTTTTTTACCCTATCACGTTTGCAAACAATTTATTGTCTTTTCAGACCCTACAAACAATTTTTTTTTCAATATTTCTCATACCCCCCTCCAGAAAAATAATGGTCCGTTCCGAACTAACTTGCATTAACAAGTACTGTTTTTTCACCTCTAACTGAGCCTTTTTTGCTGCCTCAGCTGCATCTTTTTCCTTCTTCATTTTCTTTGCATAAATCTGCCGTGAAGCACCACCCATCTTTCCAACAGCAAAATGCCTCTTACCCTAGATTTGTTAGATTAATACTAATACCGTAAGATAACATCAAGCCCAAACAGCTGGTAAATGCCGCTTGAAATGTTTCCTTCTGTGTCTGATTACAACCATCTTACAACTGGTGATTTTGAATCGCGGTCTTATTGAAATGTGGTCAAAAAATGAATCAAGAATTTTTTTAACTTCACCAAACGAGCAAAAAATTCTATTTTCTAAATTGCGTGGTTTCGATCAGACACTTAAGTTAGTTTTAAGTTTGATTCATTCGCCACAGGAATTGCAGGAGAAAGGAACAGAACTTTCGTTCCAATTGAAACCTAACCCCTTTGATACCCACCCATCCCACCCCAGGGAGGACATCCATCACACAGTAATCTCGTGTGTGGGAAATTAACGTCTCCTACCCCAACTCTGCAGGAGACGGGACCTCCATTTATCGTCCCTATCCGAGAAGACTAGAAAGTCTAACCATTTGCAGATGTTATTACAAAGGCAGCTTCACCAAGTCTTCAGAAAACAATGTTAAAAACAGTTTTCTTCCGTTAGCAAAAGCAATGGAAGAGCACTGCAACGTAAAACGTCGGTATGCAACCCCTCATTATCTTATAACGAAATTGAAACAATTTCAATTTTCAAATACACATCTTTCTCGTTCACCCGCGCGAAACGAGACATTCCACAGAGGAATGTTTCCCTTTAAAGCTTACAACTCTATCATTCTTTCTTCACTAAACCAGACCTGCTGTGTCAATGAAAGCGAAAGTCCAGGAGCTTTGCCATCATTATCTTTCTTTGGACCCGATTCCTCGTCTGATATCTTGTCATCTTTCTTTTCAAAATTTGTACTTTGCCCTAACGTACTTTCAGATTTCGGCTGAAGTTTTTTAGCCTCTGCTTCCATTTTTTTCTTAAAAAGTTCTAGAAAACTGCCATCGTTAGCAAACGTGTTTATCACAGTCGGGGTACTCGTATTTTCTCCCGTAGTGTCAGTTCTAGTTGGCGATCGCTTGGCCGATTTCTCCTTCGCGGACGCCATTATTTCTGTGCGTGTAAGCTAAAGAAATGAAATTTCGCTGGGACTTCTGGGTTTTTCATCCTCATCAAGAGAGAGATTGGGACGAGCCAACCCCAACTAGTCTCCAGTGTCCTCTCTCTTCGGTGCATGGAAGTCTCGCTTAGTTCGCCTTCGGACGTCCGGGTTCTCACCCTGACCAGAAGCTCATCACTTGATGGGCTCCTGCCCTGACTTAAAATACTGCTCCCTTGAAGTCAAACAAGGTTGGGCGAACTTCATAACTTCGGGGAGCGCTTTCGCGATGGTGAAAATGGGCAAATTTGCGTTGAGGCGAAAATTGCTGATACCCTCTCCTCTCTCCCAAGTTTGATGTGCAAAGGGCGAAATCTGGGTAACAAAGGGCGAAATCTGGGTAACAAAGGGCGAAATCTGGGTAACCAGAGTGAAGGGAAAAGATTAATGCGCAGAAGAACATGTTTGAGAAATTAATAATGATCCTAATTTCAAACCCCAAGATATCGGGCGTCAACTCTGTCAATATTCCCTCTGTATTTCTGTGACCCAGTTTACTTTTAACATGGTCAACTCCAATTTTTATACGGCTAACTCGACTTTTTATGCGGTCAACTTGACTTTTTACATGCTCAACTTTTGACTTTTTATATGGTCAAGTTGACTTTTTACGTGCTCAACTTTTGACTTTTTCTGTGGTCAACTCGACTTTTTGTATAGTCAACTTTTTACTCTTTTTATGGTCAACTCGACTTTTTACATGGTCAAGTGGTAATCTTTTGAATCGTTCCATAATGCATTGCGCCCAATCTCTAACTCATAAAAGCACTCGCTGAAGTTCGTTTTCTAGTTGCGGTGACCCCACGTGCGCTGCAAGTTGGAAATCGACGTGCGAGCTCTGCTGCAATCGAAGGGCTTGATGATGAAACAGAGGAAGTCGAAGCAATGTTGGTAGCCGTGAACGCTGCCACATTTCGAATTTCATTATTCTGTAGATTGTCGATGGCTTCGAGGGCCTGCTTAGCTATGGCACACGCCGAGGAGATGCGCTGCAAGTCTTCGTTATTGTCGGTCATTTTGTTAGAGTCCTAACGCAATGCATTGTATAGATTACAAAATCAAGTTGACCATATAAAAAGTCGAGTTGACCATACAAAAGGTCAAAAGTTGAGCATGTAAAAAGTCAAGTTGACCATATAAAAAGTCGAGTTGACCATACAAAAAGTCAAAAGTTGAGCATGTAAAAAGTCAAGTTGACCATATAAAAAGTCGAGTTGGCCATACAAAAAGTCAAAAGTTGAGCATGTAAAAAGTCAAGTTGACCATATAAAAAGTCGAGTTGGCCATATAAAAAGTCAAGTTGACCTGTTAAAAGTAAACTGGGTCACAGAAATACAGAGGGAATATTGACTGGGTTGGCGCCCCATACCAAGAGATGTTTTTATTTCAATATCACAGTATTTAAATGCAAAATGATGTGGAACTCAAAGAACAAACTTGTTAATTCTAACAAACTTTATTCGTTGTAAACGAGAAAATAAAAGAACTGTTTTATTGCTCTTTCATTAAATCCTCTTCAAAAACGAAACTCTTGAATAAGATTGGACAGACGCATGTCTTAAAGAAGCAAATCAAATTGCGTATGTTTTGACGATGCTTACTATAAAATATGGATTTAACTAAATGCAGTATCTTGGATGGTTTATTCAATGCAATGTTTCAATTTTCTCGCTGTAAAAACGATGCCAGAGTAGCAGCAGCTAGGTAATCGTCGACAGAGTGACGGCCTCCTTCACTTCCCGAGTCAGAGGAGGAATGGAGCTTAGTCTTAGAGCTGGCGCTGCTGTCAGGTAAAGGAATAGGACTGGACGGGCGATGTGCTGGAATATGTTCACGTGAACGAAAAACATACGTCTTGCTAGAACCTTGTGGGGAAGCGTAGGGCATGTTAGAATATTCCAGGCCAAGAAACCCGCTGGGTGGGAACCAGGGTGTGCGTGTAGTAAACGGATGATAAAATGGGCTCCACGGCTCGAAAGACGTTTGGGTCAGCGGATTGGGTGGAATAATAGGAGGTGACGCTTGGAAAACTGCGAGCGCACTGAAATCTTGGTTATCTACGTGCATCTTTGGAGCAGAGGCAGCTGGAGCGGGTTTGTTTTTGATTTCGTGTTTACGCCATCTAGCTCGACGGTTCTGAAACCAGACCTGAAAATAAAAGAAGCATTGATACATAAGAAAAATTGCACACTTCAAGGAGGGCTAATGGTCTTTTCACACCGGCAAAACATGATAAGTCAAACCAATGAAAATCGACAACAGAATATTTTAGACTTCATTCTACTTAGGATGCAAGTGATCACTAACTTATCGTTTCGTTGTGCCAAATTTGTGGTTGACAAATATCAGTTTAAGTAAATTCGTTAAAGAAAACAATTGAAACCGTCTTTAAAAAAAAACGCTTAAAAAAACGTGTTTTAGCTTTGGTGTGAATATCAGTTTACCAAAAGACCTAATCTGAGAGACTTGTCAACTTCTTACAACAAGTATAATTTGATTGCGACCATCTGCGAATTATTTCAGGGGAAAAGGGCAGAATCTAATAAACCCATTGCCACTAAACGGTCTTAACGAGCCAACAGAGTTAAAATAAATTTTCACCACTATTCATGACCTCTGCGATACCCGGGTGCCTTGCTGTAATATATATATTTTATATTTCACATTTTGTGTGAGCGTCTTCGATAGGGATAACCTCCGACGCTTCCATTTATGTATGCACATATTAAAATTGATTGATGATTCATGATGACCAACTGAGCTAACAAGCCAACTGGGAGCTGGTCATTATGTTGGTACGTATTAAACCCGTGAGATAATGAATCAATAAATTTTAATATATGAAAATCATACATGTGCATCGCGGTTCAGTTAAGAAGCGTTTGAAAGCGATCCTCGCAGTTATGAACCGTACTACTTAAGTAGTAGTGGAAATAGGGCCTTGGAAAAATTCAGGCCTGTACGGGATTTGAACCCATGACAACAATTGGCCCCTATTGTAGTAATGAGAAATTAACTATCATGAACGACAAAATCGAATGCATATTACCTGGATTCTGTCCTCCCCAATGTTAAGTTCTCCTGCAAGATCCTCACGTATCTTTATGCCTGGAAATTTCTCATTTGCAAACGATTCTTCCAGCCGGTCTAGCTGTTCGTCAGTAAACGCTGTTCTTCGGCGTCTTTGTCGTAATTTGTCACCTTAAGAGAAAAAAAATGTTTAACAATACATCTAGCTAGTAGTTCGTTCTGTTTGCATATTGATAAGCACTCAGTCAGTGCTCAATAAATTTGTATTCAAATTAAAAAAAGAGACTGAAAGGTTTCTATATGGTGCTGGCGGGTCGGCGAGGTTTTAGTGATAAACTCCGCCATTAATGGTTTGTAATTCTCAACTTCCTTGAGACACTGAGAAGATTTTATTTCTGGTTTAGCGATCCTTCTTATAGAAGAAGAAAAGAACCTTTATTAATTTATACCGCTCAGGGAAGCCCCTTCAGACGCAAAAAGGTGTCTGTTATCAATGGGAGCCCTGAGCAACAACGCACAAAACCACACTAAACATATATAGCTTCAACTGACCGATCAAAGTTCCCAGTCATAAGACTAGCATAATAAGCAGCAATAATGCTGCGCTCAATCCTGTTCTCACCATCATTTATTTATCGTAAATGGATTACAATTTAGAAGTAAAAGAGTTTTTCGACCTCGCACATGTACATCTATCGCTGCTTACGTTTGTAACCTACCTTCGTTTTCTGGAGCTGATCTTTTGATTCCTTTCCTTGAACTCATTCTGAACAGAACGAAATTTCAGTTAAAAGAGGAGTTATGGAGTGATCAACTTTCTACAGGGAAGTGAGTTCCTTTCGCTAGTCGGAATGAAATGACTGTCTGTGAGGTTGATTCCTTTAAATAGCCGATGACGCGCGTTGATCTAAATTTAGGCGAGGCGCCAAAACTTTACAAACAATAACTCTGTTACTGACTTTAAATTAGGAAATTATATCTCACCTTTTTGATAGTTCACTTCTTTGTCATCGTGTGAGTTATTCACCATTGTTATGCACAAACTCGCACCTTATGTTAAACAATTTCCTTCAATGTTAAGTTGAAGGTGACAAAATGTTGCAAGTTTGACAGAAAAAAGTCGTTTCGAGTGAACTTATCACAACTGCCAGAGTTCTGAATGATGAAACAACTGCCAGAGTTCTGAATGATGAAACAGTCTTCTTGGAATCCAGTTCGGAAATATAAAGTTACGACAAAGTTGCATCAAAGGCGCGCAAAACCGGGATGTCTGAGTGACTGAAACTTCAAGTTGAGGTATTATTGATATCTTAAAACGCTTACGTGAAAATTCCATTTGTGTTATTATTGATTCAATTAAAGTAATAATAAAGATGATATAATTTTAGGAGTGGCTTAGTATGACTCAGGTTTCTTGCTTGCATCTATTCTGTGCCAAAGCGTTAGTTATTAACGGAGCGAAATGATAAACGGCGCAAAAACTACGCGCATCGTTAGTGAATGCCTGGAAAGAAAACAGTCGGCTCCTGCGAATATAAGGTGGGACAAAAATGAAATGAAACGAAGTTACATTTGGAGATACTAGTCAAGTATGTATTTCAAAAAGGGTTTATTCTCCTGGGAAAAGAATTGAATGGCTGACTTGAAATACAAAAATATGAAACAATCTTCGCATTTGCATTTCATAGCAGATTACAATCTTTACAACGTGGTAACTGATCCTGAAGGGAAATGCTAGCTTTTGTCGCATTGTTCCCCTTTACTGGGTTAAATTGCTGGCGCAATTTTTTTTCTCAGCAGAAACGAGCAGTTTCTGGTGAAAAGGCTCACATGCGAGGAGCAAGGTGATAATAAGTAGTTGTGAAAAATTCAGGTGTGCCAGGCGTAGCCGTCAAATTTTCTCTTCTCAGACCACGAATCATTTCATAAAACTTAATGCTCGATCACATTGTATAAAATGCTCTTGTAAAATGATTAAGACTTAACATGGCTCCAGAGCCTTTCTTGAAACAGAATGTGATGGATTTTAAGTGTCACTCAGCCTCTGAACTTAAAAGATCTGAAAATTTGCGCTGTTGAGGTTACTGAAAATTTGCGCTGTTTTGGAAAAGATTAGCCTGTGACTTTAGAGAAGCATTTCCGGTTGTCACTTTTTATCTGCCCCAAAGTTAAAACAATAATGGTGATGACAAATTAAATTTTGCGCAATTCAAGTCACAGAAATTCAATGTGGGTCTTTTTGGTAAAAAGTTCTTTTGCTCCCGAGGGGTCTCGAACCCCCGACCTTCGCATTACTTTAGCATCCTCGGCGGACAACGCCTGTACTGCTTATAAGTACGACGCTCTAACCAACTGTGCTACGGGAGCTCAGATATACAACTCCGTCATTCTTGGAAATTAATTTCAAGTTTTGGGGTTGCATTAATTCGATAAATTCCAATCGTCAATAGAACTTGTAAAAGGCGTGTCGCCATTACTGTGTCAAAATGAAAAACGCACTTGTCGCAAAACGTAGCGCATCATCCTGTTGCAGGCCACTTAGGTTGAAAGAGGAAAATTCTGGTGAAAACAATTAGTTGTAGTAGATAAAGAGATTAGCAATTTACCATATTTTCATATTCGGAGGAGGAAATAGTTCTCCCAAAAATTCCTGACTAAGGTAGTAAAAACTTCGCGCGCACGCACGTCGCCATTTTGGAAACAATTCAGCCAAAAAAACCTGGAAACTGAATTTTGTGATTTCAAAATGGATGTAAAAAAGTGGTAATTGAATTTCTTTTTGTGCAATTTGGGTCTGAAATCATACTTATCCCACATAAAGCTGAACATTGACTAATTGGTCCCAAGCCTCCATATTACTCACCTGACATGCGCAGTTAATTAAATATGCAAAGAGCGCCAAGTTTCAAAATGGCGGTCAACAGAGCCAAGCGGGAGGGTAAGATTCCGAAGAGATTTATTGACGAATTCGCCGAAGTTAAGACCAAGAAATGCAAGAAAATAAAAATTACGGATAAAAGTACTTATCCAGTGGAGATAACACAGGTTGACAAAGCGAGAAACATGGTTAAAATTCATTTTAAAGGGTACAGTGAGAAATTTGACCTTTAATCTTTTATCTTTAATAAGTATACTCCTAAGACAGCAAAAAAAAACTATATTAGGAGTTTCAAAATAATATCAAAAAATAACAATACTAATTTCAAAAACAATGGCACTAAGTAATGAACAACAATTGGTTAAAACTCTTGATATAAATATGATCTATGAATTACAAATAAATAAATATAAAAACAACAATAAAACATATTGAATATATAAATATAGCTATAACTATTCCTAAACTAAAAGATTAAAACAATTGATAGATGTCAATTGAATGACTTGATGGCTGCAAGAGCAATTGCCTTAAACTCATTTAAGTTAACGTCTTTACTGATAGTTAGATTGTTCCATAAGGGCGACCCTAAAACCTAGAACGATGGAATGCTGGGATGCCGGAATATGACTCCAAATCCTAAAAGCCGGAACGATGGAATGCCAGAATGCTGGAATGACAGAACGATGGAATGACAGAACAATGGAATATGACCCCAAATCCTAACACCCAGAACAGATGTCAGGACATGTTGCACGAAGTTTGTACAAAGACATTGAAGCACTTGGCTCATTCATCCCCAAGACGATAACACACGTGAGTAAAAGTAAGTGTTGATTTTTTATCCTTTACTGAGTGTTATGAATAATTATGGACCATTATACATGAAAGGTAGCTGCTTTGTAAACCTGTTTATCTTTTGTTGTGCTAAATTTGAAATGAGTTTTAGTTGCGGCAGAAGAAGTGGTACAGCTTTAAAAATTCAGGCACGTGAGCATACAAAGAATGCATATAAGGTGTCACATCTTTTGCTTGCATGGTAAATGTCAAGAAATGTTTGAAACCATTTTTTTATCTTTTCTTCAAGGATAGAGATTGTGTCATCAGTAGTATAATCTAGTTTGAGGTCACCAATAATATCCATGAAATTACCCCATAGGGCTTGCAGCTTATCTGCAACATGACCTTCTAATAGTCGTGCATGAAAATTTGTGTTGAAAGAGCAAGAGTTTTTCAGGTCCAGTAAGATCTCTGTACTCCAACTTCTTAGTGTCCTTATCAATTTTCCACTCAAAATTAATTCCTTAAGCTCTTTTACAAATTTTTCGTACCCAGCCACGTGTCTATACCTATTTTGACAAAAACCATTTGAAAAAGTAGGTACCTTGTCAATCGCATCTTTTCTGCGAAGTTCCCTGATAAGAAGTTCAATTAAATTATTAGGTATTCTCAAAAGCAAATGTAGTGTATCGATTATTACATGGTCAATAAGAATAAAATTAAATAATGGATTGGTTTTACAATTATATTGTTTAGATTTTGCATGCTTACCTATTTCTTGTGAATCTCTTGCCCCAAGAGATTTGTCAGTTAAAGACCACTTTTTACTGATGTCAAACCTTTCATGTCTTGGGCACTTACACCAAATACAGGCAAAATTTTGATTTGCAGCTCCTAGACCACAGACACAGTCTAGAAACTTCCAGTCTCCTCCTAAAAAATACTCAATGCTAATACTTATGATTATTTACAGTTATTTCTTTTAAATTGGACATTTCATTGTTTTGATCAGCAAGGCTTTCTCTAAGATTGTTATAGTTCTCTGTTGCCTTAATTATTGCTAGAACATAGTTTCCTTTTTCATTCACTGCTGCATCCTTTTCATTCAAAATTGTGTATGTTACATTTTTTCAAGTTTAAGCCCCTTCCCAATGTTGGTACCATCACCACTGATCTTTACTTTAATAGTAGTAGCCTCGTCCAATACTCAATTTTTCTACAGCCTTTGTATCTGTTCTCCAAGACTGTCCCTGAAAGAAATCTGTATTCCCTCTGCCTCCCCTGGTGTTTTTTTTTTAGATTCCAATTGGAATTTAGCCTATCTAGATGTTTACATATTTTATATTTTGTGGGCATGTCTTTACACTTTATGGCCAACTCATTCTAAGCTTCATTAGAGGTATTAAATTTGTCAGTTCTTTGGCTCAGTTTCTAGTAGTTGAAATTCTCCCTCTTCTATCAATGAAATAGTTTCATATTGCTGGGTGTCGTTATTGAATATCTCCACCATAGTGGCAACAAAATCATACAGGCCTAAAAATGATAGCGCTGAGTGGCAGTCTTCTTTGAATGTTCGCCTTATCCCTGCTTGGTGCTGTTTGGTGTACTCCGTGAATTTTTTATTCTTGATTGGACCTCTTTGTCCCTCTTTTTTTTGTATTCTTGCTGCTTTCTTCGCTAATCTCTTGAATTTTTCTTTGTATTGTTCTTTTCTGTTTTCCGAGTCCCAAATGATATTTTCGAGTTTCTGCTCAATTTTTAATTTCTTTGCCTGCTCTACGGCTAAATCCAGTTTAGCTTTCCTTTTCTGTCCACGGAGCTGTTGGTTTTCCTCAATCAATGAGTTTTTTTTTCAAGCTCATGAAAAAGAATTTTGAAGGAGTAGTTTTTCGCCTTCCATTAATCAATCAGCTTCTTTACACTATTCTCCCCACTTTTTGAAGCTTTCTTGAACGCTGAGTGGAGGAGAGAAATCTTTTTCCTGAAGACGTTGAGAATTCTGGAATTTAACACAACCCCGCTGATCTCAGATTCCCTCAAGATTTTTTCCACGATTCCTGCAATCAGAGAATCGGCACTTTCGTCGTTCGGCTCTTGGTCAGGCTTCTTCGACAGGGAATATATGAGATAGCTGTTAAAAAAAAAAAATCAGTTTGATGAAAACAAAATTAAAAAAAAAGAAGAAAAGAAACGGGTTGAAGTAAACTTCGATTAACGCAATGTTACTTGTTTATTTCGTAATTAAACCAAGGCAATTTTTCCCCTTTCGGACCACTTGTTTCTTCGGCAAAATCGTTTTGCGCATCTACGGCCACCGAGAGAAGAGGCAGCGAGGACAAAATCACCAGTGCGTAAACATCGAGTCCCATTTCCCGAACCCAAACAATATCCAAAATTCATGTATTATACATCAAATTGCGCCAAATTTATTCTTCTTTTCGTATTTCGCGGTAATGACCAGTTCTGTGCATGCGCTCTAGAGTTATAGCCCCAGACTCTATGGCCAGTGTTTGCATCTAGCATAAACACCCCTCTTCGAAATGTCTGAATTGTTAACCAAAAGTTTAAAAAAGCCCGAACGAAATATTTTCATGATTACCTTCAAATACAGCGTTATAGAAAGCTTATTTACGATAGTTTTATAAACTGAGGGTAAGAAAGATAGCGATTCAAGTGGAATACGCGAAAACGAAGAAAATGTTCGAAAATTAGTGTGTTTTTGACTGGCCCCGGACTGCGTGACATGTCACGAAAGTCTGTACAGGTAGATGTTAAACGTAAGTTTGATATGGGCCCCGCCGGCCGCCGCGTCGTTTGATTTTGAAATCACGCGTGTGATTACAGACCAAATTGCACTCCACTCAGTTCAAATAATCATTACGAATCTGAAGGCGCGGTCAGTGTCACAATTTCATAGTAAATTTCAAATGACTGAGATCAGAATTATATGGTTCTCTTGCAAATTTCTCGTGAAGTCCTTAAATATGATTCTTTAGTCTCCTTTCAAAATGCTGTACATTTTTTTATGTTAGCTAAAAGAATTTGGTGTTAGATCAAGATGACACCCTAAAGCTGATGAACTTGCCTCTTCTCATTATCTGTTTTGTTGATTGTGTAATGAAAATCTGAGGGGAAGTTACGCTTCAATCCCGCTTGCGAGTTTAGTTGAATTTCGCATAAGAAACCAAGGATTCGATCATTGAATACTATTTTTTTTACGGTTTTAAATCCAGAACAAATTTCTGAGAAAATTTTCATCATATGCTCCAAGTGGGACATTACCTCTGTTAAAAGGGTTCGGCTGTTTCAAACTTGAGTCGCTCGCAAAACGGGTGCCATTTAATTGCGTTTTCAAGACGAGCGGAGACCATGCACTTGGCGAGTGTGACTCCCCTCTCGCGCTTACTCCGTATGATTCGGGAGTGATATTGTAAATCTAAATCTAAATGTCTAATCTGCAAAAGGCAATACAGCCCATCTTCAACAGACATACCCACCCATCCCATCCCAGGGGAGGACATCCACCACACAGGGGAAATCAATGTCTCCTACCCCTAACCTTGCAGGAGACGGGACCTACGATTTATTCGTCATGTTATCCGAGAAGACTAGAATATCTATCCATTTCTTGATATTATAGAAAGGTAGCACATTCTCCTCAGTTATTTTAAGACCCCGAGTGTTGGTCCGGCCGTGGCAAGGAAAACTAGATGCTCGCCTAAGCCACTCTGAGGGGTCAAAAAGTCTTATATTATAGGGATGGTCCTTACTGCTCTACATTTATCGGTAAAGTGGTTATAAGAATTTGACAAGAAAGCAACCGACTTTTCATAATTTCAGAGTTTTCTTTATTCTGAGTCTATCTATTTGAGGAGAATTTACGCACGGAGAACTTACGCACTGATTACCTGTGGGAGCAAACAGTTGAGTACTCTGAATGTAATAAACTTCCCAATGAAACAAACTTTGTTTACAGCTTTCCAGAATTTAGATTTAAATACTCTCCACCTCCTAAATTTCACTACTCGTCTAAATTGCTATTTATACTCAGGGATCTGCTCAGGGTCTGAGGGATTGTATGTTAGTTGGTGGTCCTGTGGGATTCACCACAATCCCCAAATAGATTTGGCTGGTGTGACTGCTGGCGACACAAGGCCGATTTGAATGCTAAGATTTCCAAGTACTAGTGGGAAAAGATATCTCACTGCCCCTCGGAAAAATCCAGTGTTCCTTGTGACTTCTTAGGGTTCACTATAGATTTCAGTAACTAACTATCGAAGTGAAACCTTAGAGTTGACAGTACGGATGTCACAGATTAATCGAATTCACGTTTACTCGCTTGTTATTTTTGTACATAATAACAGTTAAGATTACGTTATTCCTCACAGAATATAAAAATAACTTATTACAAAATATGTCGAGTATAAAGGTCAATAGATATATTATATAAAATATTTGTTTAATATAAAGGAGTCAGGGCATGCTGTCTTCGAATTTCTGTCAGGTAAACCAGTTTTTCTTATCACGGAAATCGAACTGTTGTGAGAACAAACCATCAAAAGAAGGGGCGAGGGGGGTTAGTTCTCTAACCTCTCATATCTCGTCTTCTTAAAGAGAAGTTACATGTTATTGACTTGTAAGAGGCACAGAGCGGCAGAGTTCCACACAATTTGAACAATTCCGTTAGAAATTTGAAAAATAAATGATGGATTGATAACAGCTACTATTCACTCCCTTGTAACATAACTATTTGATAACCTATTGGTCTAGGATTATGCTAAGTACATTTTATTGTGCCATCTTGTTTAGAATCGGAAGAATCTGGTCAAACCGGGGTCTCTTGGTTGGATCGTTATTCCAACAGATCGACACAAGCTTTGTGATCTGTGTAGATACTCCAGGTGGAACAGATGGTCGTAAACCTTCAAGTGCAACCTGAAATAGGTAGGGTATACAATTTAATTAAACAAATTAGCAGCACAGGTAACGATGATGACCAAGAAATTGATTTAGATAGGGTTAAGTATCAAGAGAAGTTCACACTACATCAGCATTAAAACTTGCTCAAGCCTAAGAGAATTTAGCAAGAGAATGCAGTTTAGTAGCCAGAGAAAATTCTGATCTGTAATGCTGAATGAATAGCCTAAGAAAGTAACTGAGCATTAATCACCTTCATGCCAACTTCCATGGGTGACAAGTGACCAAAGGGGACTTCTCTTGTGACAAGTTCCCAAAGGATCATGGCATAACTCCACATGTCTGCTGAACGTTGATCCACTTCTTCAGGGCTTTTCTGTAACACTAAAGGATACACAGTGATTTACGACTGCATGAAAAAGGAAACAAATCTCTAAATGGAAACTGATCCTGAAAATCAGCAAAGGGGGGTCTCAACAGTCAACAATATCCATATCCCCTTAGAAGTTAAACATTGGCTATCTCTCTATTTTTCATACTTTAACTGAGCTTTTACTCTTTTATAATTTAAAATTCCAAAATCCTTTAAAATTCCATGACTATCTAGCCCTGGGAAATGATGTAAGGAACTACATTTCCTGTCTTTCTAACTTTCCTGTGACATATATAAACCCTGATTCGAACATATTACCTTCTGGAGCCATCCAGTTTGGACTTTCAATTTTGCTGAGGTTCATGAAGGAGAATCTGTAATCGGCCATACTTATTCTAGCTGTTAGATCATCATCAATCTGGAACAAATAAAGCAGAATAAAAGTCATACTTCAGAAACAAAATTTAGCCTGATAGAGTAAACATTTTCCTCATACCTGTCAGGGCTTTCAGTAAGTTTGAAAGTAGAAGGCAAATGATACTGAAATATAAAGCTACCAGGTTATCATATTCTGTCAGATTACACCCAAGACTTGGAACTATTCAGTTGTAAGGCCCCAGGTGTTCCATGTTTGCACAAATCTTAAAGTAATGTCTGAATGTGGAATTGATTCACAGAATCAAAACTAGGAAATGGCAGCTGTACAAATTCTTCAAAGGTGTACAAACTTTGTTCCAACACATGACGGTATTAACAACTGACTTCATAGTTATCACCTAGTTCTTACTGTCACTTTTCTTGGTGGTCAGTTTTCATGGACAACACAATTTCCTTTACTTATATTAACTCTCTTGGTTCTAGAAGGATTTTGGACCACTGTCTAAGAAACCTTTAAAATGCTGAAGGTGGCAGAAACTTCTGATAAATTCTCATTCTTTACAAGGGATGTCATGAAATACATACCATGACATGTGTGCTTTTAAGGTACAGCCTTGGAATAAGTTGGTCTAAAGAATGCAGGTACTCCATTCCTTTGGCAATGTCTAATGCAAACTTCATTGCTTGCTCATGGTCCACAATGATCCCTGTTGGCATCACAAATCTGATGTCTCAGAAAATGTTATTGTAGAGTACCTACATACAATTTAATGCACAAGAGGCTTAACTGATTGGGATTTTTTTTCCTGTAACATTCACCATCATGTTTGAAAAGTAACAGAATTAACCTTGAGCATTGTAAAGATATATTAAGTTTTCTGAGTTCTAGGAACAAAAGGCAAAAAAAAAAAAAAAGCTGTCATAGGTCTCTGTAACATACATCTTTGTTTCTACTGTTTCCAAAACAATTCACTTGACATGTATGATTGTAATTGCTGCACAAATTCAAGCTTGACCAAAATTGTGAAAGTTGTCAAAGGGACAAAATTTCCTAACAGGGGCGATTACTTTATACCAGTTTGACAAAACCCTTTTCTCTTAATTACCTGTTCCTTCATGTAAAACATTGTAAAGTGAACCAAATGGAAGATACTGTGAAAGAACTATCAAGTCCTTGGAGTCATTAACTGCACCAATTACCGGTAGAACATTTGGGTGGGAAAATATTCTGAAAACCAAAACAAACTTTTAATTGACTTACAATAAGTAGCTAATCAATTAAGAACCTGGAAATGATTGAAATGGTCTGATCAATCTGTCTTCACACAAACTGGACTTATATCACTGACTGACAACAACTCCATACTTGACTCTGATGATTTCTTCCGCTCTGGTTGTCAAAACTTCTGTCAGTCACTACTACGTACTGACAACAGTCCTTTTCAGGAGTACGCTCATCTAGGCGATCAGGCTACATGGCACAGTCTAATTCATTAACAACACCTAACAAAATAATGTACAAATATTTCAATGTATTTACCTTAATTTTGAGTATTCCTCACTGAAATCTCTTGATATTCTTTTGTTGACCATTTTAATGGCAAGCTTTTTGCCAATGATATTGAGATCATTCCACTTCCCTTTCCATACCTGAAAAATAATAAGCCAACATCAAAATTCCAATACGTTAACTAAATAATTTCTAGACATCTAGTTCACAAATAGACAGTGGTTTAGCACGATCTGTACTCTTATTTACAATGATATTTATCTTCACAGTGGTCAAAATTTTGATTTTTACAGTTTATGACCATTGTGTGACATGTTGGCACCAACAGCATTGTCTGTACTCTTAATGACAATGGCAAATTGGCCAATCAGCTTGCAAAATTACTGCCAATTGTGGTAAAAAATTGATTTTATCTATTACATATGAAGCAGTCAGGGGGTAAAAAGGTTTGCACAAGACTTTCTTGCACAAAAAGACTTTCTTGCACAAAAAGACTTTCTTGCACAAAAGACTTTCTTGCACAAAAGACTTTCTTGCACTAAAGACTTTCTTGCTAAGCTACATGAAATCATCTTACTTTCTATAAAGAGAATTGCCGAGGAATAGCATGATGAGTAGTTAACTCTTTTGCCTACTTTATTGACTCTGAATGGAGAAATTCCATTTTGGTCTCTCCTTGGAGTAAAATGGTCAAGACATCACATTTGATGAATACAAAATAGATGACTGGGAAACATCTACTGGATCTTATGATCACAGTGTTTGTTCTTCTAAGATTTTTAAACATTTGTTGATTTTCCACTGAATTTTCCATGACTTTTGTCTGTTATGATAAATTAAACACCAAAAATTTCATCAATGTATAATTACCTCGCCAGTCACTGTTTTGCCTATTTTTGTCACCAAATCAATTTCTTGGGGTTGAATCCATGAAAGTCTGGACTTAATGTCCCGTAAATCTGTAAATTGAACCAATTAGAAACACAAATTACTGTAAAATGCAGTAAGGAAATCAAATGTATATGGTGTGCAAGTCAAAACCAGTACACCTCAATTGAATTAGGTAATCTGCATTTATATAATATCTAGTTCATGTTGAACTACCAAAAACACCAAAAACAGCTTTCCATCTTACCATCTTTTTTTCCATGCTTTGAACGGCTATCTGTAAGATGACCAAATGAATATAGTTAAACATGTATCAAGCACTTTCCAACTCCAGTTATTTATAGCAGAATTCTCACAGCTAGTTATTATGCAAGGTATGGCTTGAGAGAATCTTAAATTATGATTATAGGAAAATTATTTTCAGAAAAGTCACCTTTGTAAGGAATTCTTTTGAGATCTTGTCCAAGTTGAGCTGCTAAGTCTGTGGAACAAAGGAAAGAATTGATTGTGTTTCGATAAAAACCTGTGGAATCTTTTAGAACAGTTGGGTTGGTAACCTTCAATCACCAATTACATCAATACTTTGACATAACCTTTCTCACCTCTTAAAATTTCTGCCAGGAAAGGTTTACATTTGTCAAGTGGTGTCTCCCCATACTTATTGCACTGTGAGACCAAAGCACCTCTTTTGACTAGCTCCTATGAAAGAAAACAAACAGATAAAGACAACTGGTTTACATCTCCCAGGATAGCTGGGTAGTGGCTATGAAATTGAGCTACCAGCTGACATTTCAATTGAGGCAGCTCAAAGATGGTGCAATAAGAGATCCAGCTTGGGAATCACATTTTGTTACTAAACCCTGCCAGTGATTGCCACTTTTCCATCTGGCCAATTTTGCTGGCAACTGACGTTTTGCAGCAAAGGCTAGGATAGAACTGTTTGAGGTGACACCACCAAAAATTATCCCTATACATGTGTGTGAATGGTTTCTTGAATGGTTTCTTGAATGGTGACAATTTTCATTCCTTCTGGTGGAAAAAGACAGGCAAATAATGAGAATAAAAAAAGCATAAGCAAGGGGAAATTGTTTTGAGATAATGCTGAATTCTCAGGACTAACCAATGAATTAATCTTATGGGAGAAAAGTCATCTGCCAACACCTTACCTCTGCACATTCTTCGGAATTCCAGAAGCATGCATAATGGAGCGGCGTGTTTCCATGATTATTGACACCATTAACAGGACATTTATTTTTCAAAAGCTAAGCGAGTAGAAAATCACAGAAATTAGTTAACAAATGCTTACCCTTTACACCCTTCCAATATCATGCATGTTTTCCATACTGCTCTCCACATGTTTCCCAAAGTGTGGACGAGGAGAATTTGTTTGACAATCAAGAACAATTTGGGGCTTCGGGTGATGTTGACAAGAGGAATTAGATGCTAGTCACTTTAAAGAGTCAATGGGTTAACTACCTGACAGAAGTGATTAAATAGTAACTTCTTCCTATAATATCCATACATTATCCATCAAACTGGTCATGAGAATACTCTAACTTATCAGGTTGAAGTTGTCATATCTTGATCTAACACCAAATTCTCATAACTGATTTACAAGGAAATGTGTAGCAGCTAAAAGAGAGAGTTAACGATCAGCAGATCTTGAGATTCATAGGGTTAAAGAGTTTGAGAAGGTGGGAGGTAAGTTCAAAATTTTCAACAATTATTAGGAAAAGAATAAGTTTCCAATAACAAAGGCTTTGACTTGATACTCAGCAACAAAACTGAAAGGGAAAACTTACTCAGACAGAAGTTATACATAATTGTATAACTGTATAATATCAATGATATCGATAGCAGTATGATATTTATCCCTAATGTTTACGTCCTTAAGCAACGTCCCTGATTAGATTAACAAATCAGTTACATTTCAGTTAAAATCAAATTGAAATAATTGTTTTGCACTGTAAATAATGCAGTGAGTTATCCTGTATTGATCAGCGTGTCATTTCATATACAAGACAAAGAGAATAACATAATTTGTTAACCTCATCCAAGTTTACGTCACAAAACATTTCTCCCTGATGTGATCTGTTGTTTACTTTACGACTGCCGCGTTAATTTTTCTGGACACAAATTACTTCGCTAAAGAGGCCATGTTTACTTGTGTTGCCCGCTGAAACCTGATAATTTTCAAGTTTGATGGTAAAGACGCAGTCTTACCCTTTGTATAATTTCCTTGTTGCTTTTGCTGGCCGCCAAATGAAGGCCATTATCACCGCCATCGTTTAAAGCAGTGATGCGCGCTCCTCTTGACAAAAGTAGATCAAATACTGCGGTTTGGCCTTCTCTTGCTGACCATAACAAGGGAGTGAAACCATGATCATCCCTGTATTAAAATAAGACGATGAAATATAACTTAAAGGATAAGAACCGTAATTCAAACAGAACTCACACACTCAAAGCTGAATTGTTTTCTCTCTTGAACGCTAGAAATATCCCAAACACATAAACAGATCAAATAGTACATTATGCACGTTGACGATAATGTCTACCAAAAGAAGAGCAAATTGCGAAAAAGAAATGATTATTCGTCTTCTTAACCATTTGTCACTCTTTGTTCAAACAAAGCTGACAGCTTTTTCACTTTTATAGAACTGTTGACACTGTCTACTTACCCTTGATTCAAATCGTTCGAAGTGTTTTCGAGCCATGTCTTCACAAATCGAAGGTTGCCTTCACGCGAAGCAGAGAAGATGTCCTCCATCGCTCGGAAACCACTCCGATGCGTACAAATAGAGCCGCCTAACTAGCTAACAGAACGGAAATAATTGGCAATACGCATGATTAGTACACTAACGGCAGATCACAAGGCAGAAAATTTGTTAGGGCGGTGAGATGTAATCACTTGAGGAATGGCAAATATTGTACGCTGGTTCGGTGGACCGCTGACTATACAAAGACGTTGAAGGGTGTTATTTGGGGCGGGGTTTGGCATATCCGCACGGAATTCCGCAGATGAGGCACTCATATACATTCAAACATACATACATTTATTTGATAAGTAGGTTTTAAAAATATGCAACTGTACAGCTGATGTGGACCTACTACTACTTAGTCTAAATAAGGAAAAACAGAAATTTACAATACAATTGTAGAGTAGAAAAAATGTATATGTATACCATGTAAAGTTCTGCTATTGCCCTTGAAGAGCATTCTGTTGTAGCTGCCAAATTATTCTAAACTGTTAAGCAATTTCACATCCAATGAGACTTCAAATTACAACCTGCTGCTGATGCCTTTTGATGCACTCTTTCATAAAGGGGCAAACTGATTCCTCACCCCTCAGCAAGTACGAGGATTACAAATTTTAAGTCCTCAGCAAGGTACACTTGCAACTTGCACTTGAGATCGAAAGTCTCGCAGAGAAGTCAACTTCATATTACAATCACTGAGACATAAATCACAAGTAGGCATACTGTATGAGCCATTTACAGCCAGTCCAGAATCTGAATTTTTGTCTGATTGGTTGAACAATGATTCTTGCAACATTCCCATGAAAATAGACTGCTTCACCACAAATTAAAATCAATAGGATCTGGAAATGAGGAATTCTTTTATAAGAGACATTGTTCAGGACAACGTGACATTGCGTTACATTTATGGTATTTTTAAAATGAGTGACACGGATCAAATGTCAAGTACTTTTACTTCGTTCGAGATTTTGCATTGTGAAGATCGAGTATTCGCCAAGGAGGTTTTGTCCTTAGTCAGAATAAAGTAAAACTTTGAGTTTAACCGTGGATTTATTGAGTCGTTCTAAACAGACATATAAAAGGATAGTTTGTATCTGTGGTATTTTTTCCTGCTGCAGAAACAGGCTTTGTAAACATGATCATAGAATAAGATCCACACCTTCCACCACACTATTCCCAAACCACTGATATGTATTTAAAATATACAGCCAAATCATAATCATTTAAAAATTATCTTTTTATTTCTAAAAGCTATGAATGGAATGATGTCATTCTTTAAAGTATAATTTAGAGATAATACTATGATGTTTTGAGAGACTGAAATATTGTTAGCCTTTATGCTCTTCTATAAACCTTTGTTGCATTTCTTGTGCTAGGACCCAGGGAACCTGGCAAAATGTTATTTTTTACCTGGTTTTATTCATTGTTTATTTGCCAGTTTGAATTTCCGCCATTTGTTTTTGAGTTTTGATTACCGCTGACACTTTGTATCACAGGTGAGCGCTGAAGGCACGAGAGTTTTCCGGATGAGCCCCAAAGGTGCTCTTCTCACCCCTTCAGGGCTCATCTGGAAAACTCTCATGCCTTTGGCGCTCACCTGCGATACAAAGCGTCAGCGATAATCAAAACTCAAAAACAAAATGGCGGAAATTCAAACTGGTGAATAAACAATGAATAAAACCAGGTAAAAAATAACATTTTGCCGTGTTCCCTTGCTAGGACTGTCTCATTAACCCTGTTACTCCAAAGATCTCATTTAAGTAATTCTTTTTACTGTCTGCCATACAATTCTTAAGATGCTGGTTCAAGTTGTAAGGAGAAATTCTGTCTTGGTCACTCATGGGAGTTTAAGGGTCAATGAAAGATTCTCCTGAAAGAGCAAGCAAAGGGTGACCTCCAAGTAGATCAAAATCATGTATTTGATGAATGAGAGAATATTTTAAGAAGCTCATCAGCTGCCATTCCAGGTGTAACTTCCCCATCTGCTACTAATTTTTCAAAGTTATGAATTTCTCTCTGAACTTCAGGATTTGATTTAAATCTTGTCATGATTTGTTCTCTGATATGATTCCACATCCAGACCACATGCTGTTTACAACGCCTTTGTTCCAGTTCACTATTGTCAACCATGATGGTGTAATACTGCTGCATGGTTTCCCAGGCTTTCTCAATTCCATCACCAGTTCTGGAGGAGATACGGAGAACCTGAAAGTACAAAATTCAGTAAAACTATCACATAATTTACCATCAAAAAAAGTATTTATCAAATGCTGATAAAAATGGTGAAAAGAACAACAACAAAAAAACTTATCTTTTATAAAAAAAAACCTAACATTATGTGATCAAACAAAACAAATGATGAGGTAGATGGCACAGAGAGACAAAGAAGAGCTACATAATTATAAAAAAAACTATTTCCTTACACTAAGTAAAGCATTAAAACCCTTCAACTCCTAATAGTGGCTAGCATTTAATTTCTCCTTACAATATCACCCCTGAATCACACATTAAGGTCAGGAGAATAAAGGAAATGATCACCAACTAAAGAAGCTCTTGATTGTTTGACAAATTCTCCTGGTCAGCACCTCAGGACATGTATAGAGAACAGTGTGGAGAAAGTGCATACTGATACTTGGGTGTAAACAGTTAATCATACCGGTGGATTCCAATGAGGCGACTTTTTTCTTAATAATTTCAGAGCACTAATGTACTCAGTTTGTATTCTCTGAGCTGGAATAACAAGTTCCCCATCTGATTTATTGACCAACACAAGATCTGCCATTTCCACTATGCCTTTTTTGATTCCTTGGAGTTCGTCACCACGAGCTGGTGGAATAAGAAGAACAAACATGTCCACCATGGAGGCAACTGCAATTTCTGATTGTCCAACTCCCACTGTTTCAACAAGGATGGTGTCATAACCAGCAGCTTCACAAAGAAGAATGGCTTCATTTGTGCTCCGGTTTACACCACCTACAAGTGTACAGTTATGAAAAATCAGAATATGTATTTTTTTCTGAAGTACCATGGATGCTAGAGTGAGCTCCAGGAGACTAAACTTATTCAGGGCTTTTAGAAAATGGGCATTAGAGACAGTGGCTTAATAATTTGTTGAGAACCAAGGCAAAAGTTATTATTTTTTCTTCTACTTCTAGCTACTACAAACTTGCTTGTAAATAAGTTATGTGATGACGTAACAGAAGTGTTTGATTATCTTTTTCATTATTGTTATTGATATCATTATAGCTGTCATTGTTGCAATTTTTTCCATAATGTTGGGTGAAATCTCAGAAAAGTTATGGCAACCTGGGTCGAATCAACTGAATCTATATCTGAGTTTTGACACTAAGGCAGCTTTGAAGAAATTTGAGATTACCCAACGTTCCAGATGAAGGGGACGGCCTGATGTAAGCATTGAGATTTCGTGACAACTCTGTCATTCGTGTCTTATCACCCAGTAAGGATCCACCAGTTGTGGAGGATGAAGGATCCACAGCCAAAACGGCAACCCGATGCTTTCTGTTGGTTAGAAAAGTCCCAAATGTCTCAATAAATGTAGATTTTCCACCCCCTGGCGGGCCTGATAAACCAATCCTGAAGGAGTACCGCTGTCCATTTGAGAAAGGAGGAGCATGTTTTGAATATTTAACAACTCTGGCAAGTAATTTCTGTGCCTGGTGATATTTCCTTGAATGAAGAGTTTCCACTAATGTTATGGCTTGCGCTAAGCTTCCACGATCACCTTGAATAATTCCCTGAAATAACCGCTGAATGTGATACCCTTCGTCTGTAGATTTGACTTCGAGATTCGTTGCATAGTTTCTGTTTATAAATGTGACCCAAAGAGGATATCTGTAGGCTGAAATACGGGTAAAATCACTTAGAAAAACGCGATAAGACATTTCAGACATTTCATCTAATCCGCCATCTTGGATTTGATAGCGGGACATGTTCACTTGAGAAGGACTGGGTAGAGTAACGCTTTGTAGAGTAACGCTGGGTAGAGTAATGCTTTGTTACGCAATCTTTTATTACTTGCGTGAGCCTACGTGATGAGGTCAAAATAATGTTTGCGTAAGGAAGCTGGGGGCGAGTGTCCGGCGATCCTTCACGTAGGGACTCACGTAGGTGCTTTGCATATCTGACAGCCAACAAATTGGCTTTCTGTTATTGGTGGCCGTTAGTAGTTAGCGTTCAACAAAAAACCACATGAAAAGATGAGTTTGAGTATCTTTGGTGGAGACAAGCGACAGGCATTTTTCTGGAATAATTATTGCCGGTGAAATGGATCAAGACGGGGACGTAGTTGTCTTCAGTTGTAACGACCACCATATCAAAACTTTCAAGAAGATGGAAGGTTATCGAAAAGATTCCAAACTATGTGATATTATTTTGGTGGTTGGGGAGAAGAGGTTAAAGGCTCATCGACTCGTTCTCGCTGCTTTCAGCGATTATTTCAGCGCTTTGTTCACTGGTGAACTCTGTGAAAAGGGGCAAAGTGTGGTGCATTTAACTGACATGGATCCCCAAGCTGTCGAGGATCTCGTTCAGTATGCATACACTTCTCATGTCGAAATACGCGTAGACAACGTGGAGAACTTACTCTCAGTGTCGTGTATTTTACAGATTGATGAAGTGAAGGAAGCCTGTTCTGAATTTATGGAGCATCAATTGCATCCTAGTAACTGTTTGGGTATTCGTGCTTTTGCGGATGGACACGGTTGTAGCGAACTGTATAAAATCGCCGATGCATTCACAAAGGAGCGATTTGTTGACGTTGTCAAAAATCAAGAATTTGTGCTTTTGAGCTCGGAATGCGTCGCTCGGCTCATTTCAAGCGATGATCTCAATGTTTCCTCTGAATCGCAAGTTTATGACGCTCTCTGCGTCTGGGCAGAACACGATAAAGAAAGCAGAAAGAAACTATTGCCGAGATTGCTTGGACTTGTTCGATTGCCTCTTCTCGCGCCGGAATTTCTTGTCGATAAAGTGGAGATGTCATCACTATTCCGTGATATCAGCTCCTGTAGGGAGCTCGTTATCGAGGCAATGAAATACCAGCTTTTACCAAAACGGCGATTTCAACTTCAGAATGCAAGGACAACCCCAAGAAAGTCTACAGTTGGCAAACTTTATGTCGTTGGAGGTAAGTATATTTTCGCTGAGCTAATAAGCTTAGTCAAATCAACTAGGTATTTCTAGATCGTTTTACTCTTTTGTTATCAAGAATGATAAATTAAACTTAAATGTTTTTGTCAAGTGGCTTTTCCTTTCTGACGTAAATGTGTGCGTCGATGTGGTAGTATATTGTTCTGTGGTCGAAACGCACGGTCATTTTAGTGGTTTTCATTATTATGAACAATACAGCACACATGGTAGACTAAGAAAGGAAGTGCGGTTGGATGAAGTTTTTTTTCTTGTTGAAAGAAGCTTGTTTTTTTTCGTTTGATAAATTAAATTTAAAGGAATTTTAAGTGGCTTTTGGTGGGTGCGGCTAGAAAAAACAGCGACGAAACTCGTAAAAAATTGCAAACTTCCTTTTATTTTCAATTTTAGTATTTTCGTGACTGACCAATTTTCGTTTAGTTCATCTGGAACTTGTCACACGAAGGCGGTAATTTTCAATTGATGATAGTCTGTTTTCTCAGTACCTGCCTTCGATACCAGTACAGTGATAGTATAATTGTTTTTATCTCAGTGAGGTGGAGGCTTTTTGCATGAACTTTTCAACCCTCTAGATTTTCGGTTATCATCTTTATTAGCAGTATTTGAGTGTGATATTTCAAATTAAAATTCATTTGACCTCTCATGGAATGGCTATTTGGAAATTTTCCAGAACAGTTAAAGAAAACATGCTTTCTATCACATGTTGACATCTGGCAATATTAAAAGTAATCAGCTTTGCAAAACAAAAGGTTTTGGAAGAGCTGTTGACCAGCATCGTTTCTCATATTGATGGTTTTTGTGTCATGAAAAACAATTAGCTTTGCTTCTTAACCTTTCTTCTCTCAGAAGGGACCGAAAAAAAGCTAAAATATATTGATTAAATGGTGACAATGAACCAATATCATTTGTACAATATTGCAAAGTTGCATCCTATTCATTGAAGTTGCTTAAATACAAGAAGCAAACGTTGCCTTTGTTTTCCTAATTGTGCACAAATGTTCACACCTCGATCACCACAAACTTACTGCCTCCTTTTGATACAAAAGTCAGTGTTTTGCAATCTGTTTTAATTGGTGTCCTGTTTATTTTCTCTGCTTCTGACAGTTTCTTGAATTACTCTGGGTGTAACTATCATATGATCATCTTAAGTTTGATAGGCTCTCATTGTGATTCTCACAAATTTGTCGCTGTTTCTTTAAATATTTAACAGTCAGTAAAATATGCACAAGTCTCCTTCATTTAAGGACTTCTCAGGAAATAAACAACAATGTATTCTTGAAAAGTCATTTCGTTGTTCTGTCATTTAAGTGTGTTGTACGTGACTGTCAAGTGTTATTGGCTTGCTTTTAATGGCCATTTTCACACTAGAGGACGGACAAATCGACTGGCTTTTGTTCGTTGAATTTGAATTCGAGAAGGCCATATGCCGGTCCGTCTTATGAGCACAAAGAGAACTGGCACTAGGTCGTGTTGTAAAGCAAAATGGCTTCCGCCATGTTGAAACTTCCCATAAAACCTTGCTCTGTTGCTAGTCCCATTTCCTCGCGGCGAGAAAATCAAACATTTCACCGTCTGATAAGAATTTAAGTCGTACTGTTGTCGACTTGTTCGTCTCGATGGACAATTTGTCTTCAAAAAATCTTCTTTCCAGAAGGCCAAATATCAGACAATTTGTTCATGGAAAAATTTGTTCATCCCGTTTTCCCATCAGCCGATTTGTTCGTCTAGGACGATTTGTCCGTCCAGACCATTTCTCTGTCCTCTAGTGTGAAAACAGCCAATGGGTTTGGCCTTATCAACAAGCTGCTAAGGTCCCTATCATTTAAGAGCATTTTAAAAAAAAACAATAGGCTCTTTTCTTCCCAATCTAGGTATGGATTCATCTAAAGGGGCAATCCAAATTGAACGCTATGACCCACGCAAGAACCAGTGGTCTGTGGTGTCTCCAATGGTTACCAGAAGGTTGCAGTTTGATGTGGCTGTGTTAGGAGGCAATCTTTATGTTGTGGGAGGTAGAGATGGACTAAAGACTTTGAATACTGTTGAATGTTACAATCCAAGGACAAAACAGTGGGGTCCTGTGCCATCCATGAGCACCCATCGCCATGGCTTGGGAGTAGCAACCTTGAATGGTCCTCTGTATGCTGTGGGTGGCCATGATGGCTGGTCCTACTTAAGCACAGTGGAAAGGTCAGTTTGTAGCTTTGAAACACATAAATTGAATGCAATTGTACAGGTACTTTATCTGTTCTCGCAATCTGCTGAGAATAATTGATGGAATAGGGGGTGGGTTAGCACTGCAAGTACTCAATAGAGTGTTCACTAAATCATCCATATTTAGAATGAAATTTGAGATTTCCTAATTACTTTCAGATTTGACCCTGATACCAAACAGTGGAGTTTTGTTGCACCAATGACTACAGCACGAAGCACTGTGGGAGTGGCAATACTTAATGGCAGACTCTATGCGGTTGGGGGAAGGGATGGTTCTGCTTGTCTGAGCTCAGTTGAATGTTATGATCCCCACACCAACAAATGGTCAGTAACTTGCCCCATGTTGAAGAGAAGGGGAGGTAGGTTGTCAAAGAATGTTCTTCAGAGTTTCATAGATTTCAAAAACTTCTTTGTTGTACACAATCTTCTTAAAATTTGTTGTCTTTGTGCAAAGAAAGGGAGAAACCTTTTCTTTTGGGTGTAAGGTTAAAGAATAGTATTGGGCTTTTTCTTGGTGCCTAGCAATTTTGTATTATATACAAGTTCCAGTCAAATTTAGGGCCATATTTCAAAACAGAGGACAGAAATTTCCCTCTCAATAGCATCATCAGGTTGTATCAAACTTAACATGCAAAACATGTCATTCATCAAATAGTCTTAGAACTTTTCTCACATGGTATTCTTTTATTTTTCTTTTAAAGGTGTAGGTGTGGCTGTTCTGGATAATTTTCTGTATGCTCTAGGGGGTCATGATGCACCTGCCAGCCAAGACTGCTCTCGCCAATTTGACTCAGTGGAAAGGTACAACCCTAATACAGACCAGTGGACTATGGTTGCACCCATGATCAACTGCCGTGATGCTGTTGGGGCAGCGTGCCTTGGTGACAGGTTATATGCCATTGGTGGGTATGATGGATCCAAGTATTTGAGTGCAGTGGAGTCATATGACCCTGAGAAGAATAAATGGGAAGAAGTTGCCTCTCTCAACTCTGGAAGAGCTGCAGCCTGTGTGGTGTCAGTGTCTAGTGATGCGGTAGCAAGTTGATGCTTTTGTTCAACCCTTACAGACTAATTATTATTTGAATTAAGGGACTGCTCTTTGACAAAGAGTTCTAAAAACTGTAAGGGCCTAAAATGTTTCATTTCTTGAAACCAATTGATTGACAGTGCGAAATAACTAGACTGAAGTTATTATACTGTGGTTAGTTTGTGGTTTACTCTAGAACCCAAACCCTGATCTTCAAAGTGATCCGTCACAATGAACATTTGCAAAATATAAGATAGTTAGGTTTTATAATATGAGTTGACGATGTGAATTGGCTGCTGAAATTCTGAAGCTGACATAGGGAGTATTAGCCCTTGGTCAGAGATAATGTATTAGCTCTGACAAAGGGCTTTTGCTCTAAACATCAGTCCTAGAACCTCTTCATGATGGCTAATTCACATCATAAGCTCAGGTGATTGAATCAAATTATCCAGTAATACCCTCCACTGATGCAGCACCACCACTTATTTTAAAAACATACTTCCTTTTTCACAGAATATATTATGTGTTCATTATTTTCCAAGGTTGGCAGTCATTTTTTTTTTATCATTTTCTAATAGTTATTACAGCAAATGAATCCACAGACATACAGATTAAAATGATGAAAGGTTTTATGATCAGTATATATTAGTTGAATCAAAAATGTTTGTACATTTCAAGTATTTATCAAATAATGGAGATACTATCAAGATGCAATCTGTTTGGACAAAAAACCTTATTGCTCATTATTAGCAATCAACAGCCATATACAAATGGAAGCTGACAGGTTTTTTCATCAGGTAAACTCATGACAAGTGCATTCTTTTGCTAGAAAAAAAAGTTTGTAGTTAATTGACCAGAGTGGAGAGCAGTGTGGTCTGAAATAATAACTTTGTTTTCCAAATTGAACCAGAGAGGGGAATTGCTGGAATTCTTGTGAAGTCTTTAGATACAACTAGGTCCTCTACTAACAAATTTTATCCCTTGTCAAAAATGTTGAGAGTTATTAGAATACCTTTTGATACTCTTTGAAAATTTCCAATTCTTGGTTGATATTTATTTTCTATTATTACCCCAAAGCATTATTTTTATGAATAAGATTATTTCAGTTCCTATTTATAGTGTGCAGAGTCTGAAATTATCACAAGTTAAATGCAAAACTACTTACAGAAAAGGGTGATTATGGAACAACAAGTTTTCAGCAACATTTCTAAGTTAGCTAAGGATGTTGTTGGCAGGCATGCTTTGGGGCAGTTAGCTTTGAACAATTAACTTGAGAGGCAAAATTTACAGAATTATGGATATTAAATTGATTTATGATAAAGTTGGCATTGATTTGATCAGAATATATAAATAATAATAAATCTTTGACTTTTAACCATAATATAATTTTTATTTTGTTTGTAACTTGTAATAATTGTGCAAAGTTATATATTAACTTAACTGCAGTGGATCAGGAAAATGTTGCAAGAGTTTTATTTTGTACATGGTGTTCTGATTGACAACCATCTGTCCTGGAAATGTCACGTGGACTATATTGCCATGAAGATGAGTAAAATTGTTGGAGTAATAGCTCATCTAAGACACTTCGTTCCTTTCTCTACTTTGAGAAGTATATATATCAGTCCCTCATGCTTCCCTACTTGACATATGGTTTGATATCTTGGGGACAGGCGTCAAAAGCCCATCTTAATAAACTATTGTTACTTCAGAAACGTGCATTACGTATGATGTATGATGTCGTGCTATTCCTTTCTTTATTTCTTCAAAAATATTAGCCATTCATCTGCTTTATTTTGAAGCTATCTTACACTCTATGTATGATGTTTCAAATAATTCTGCTCCAGATGCTATCTCTGAAAAATTTGTCAAGACCAGCTCGGTTCATTCATATAATACGAGGGCTTCATCTCATGGCAAATACCATACTAAATTTTCACATCTAAATCAACAGCGGAATTCTTTTTTCAGCTTTGGCGCAAAAGCGTGGAATTKTCTCCCATCTTAAGTATGTAATCTACCAAAACTGGCATTCAGGAAATCAATTTGCAAAGCTTTATTCACAGCTCTAGAAGGCGAGGAGGATTATATTGAAGCACTTAATTTACTATCCAAAATTAATTTATATTTAACATAACCTTTTGTAACTATTCATTGTTGATGTCTTCGCCTGTTTCGTTTAGACTGTTTAGTTTAGGGTAGGAGACGTTAATTTCCCACGCACGAGATTACTGTGCGATGGATGTCCTCCCCTGGGGTGGGATGGGTGGGTTGCTGTCTTGCGTTTCATACACGAGCCTCTGGCTTGGGAAATCTGGGTAACCATGCCTCATGTAATAGACAATAAACTTGATTGATTGATTGTCTTGAACTGGGACCTCTCATCCTGAAGTCCTGTATTCTAACCATTTGGCTGACATGTCCTTCACATATAGGAATAGTTGGGGAGAATTCAAATACAGGTAAGCGGGTGTTCATATTAAGTGCTTCTAGGGCAGCTTTTCTGGAGAAAATTTCTCAAGTATTTGTGTTGCTTGGAAGCTTTAGAAACTGAAATGTTTGAAGCTATGGAAAAAATCTTAACTTGCAATCCATGATGCAACTTTCAAGAATTTTTGAAAGGGTGTCCACTCATATTGTTATTCTCTTCTCTTCGGTTGGACTTTTCAACAATGTAATTTGGTTTTGTCAATTGAGTTGATAATTATAAATTGGCTCCAAAAAGAGCTCCAACAGAAGTTCGACACTCAGAAGGTCAGCTTTAGAAACCCTTGACGCTGGCCAATTTACATTTATTAACTTAGTTGATAAAACCATATTATATTTCAATAACTCCACCAATGCAATGCAGCACCACTGTTTCTTTAGAAACGTATCCACTCTATTCATCCACCAATGGGCACTGCAAATTTTTCTGGAATGTGAGTGAAAATCTTATAAGTAAACTAATTGCTGGAGTTTAAGAAACAGTACTTTTTTTCACAAATTTAAGGTGGCCCTGGTGAGGTGCAATGGTCTAATATTTCTGTATGAGCAAAGGACTTGAACAGGGATAAAGTGATACAACAAAATATCATGAATCATACTACAAAATACAAATACAAACCTTTTTTTATTACTATTTTGAATAGGATCTCATTATGTGGAACACTCCATGAAACTACATATCAATTACTACGGATTGTTTTGAACCATCAGACGAATGTGTATATTAATGACACACTTCTCAAATGCAAGATAAAAAAAAAAAATGCACACAGACATGTTCCATTACAACAATTTAGCAAATAATAATTAGCCATGACTAGAACTACTTCAATTAAATAGAAAATGTATTTCTTAACATGATAATAACATCACTTAATCACTTTCACTTGCCACAATCAGTCCATAAAAAAAACTGTCCATATTTTCATAAAACCATTCATATAAGTCTCCAAATTCAGTTTGGATCAATTGTCTTGAATCTATAAATAACACACTGCTATAATTTTACAAGAATATCAAGTATGAATTATGAATGCATATCAACATTACTAAGTGCCATCACTACCTATTTATGCACCATAATTCTTGGAATCATAACCTCTTTGAACATACTTACAATAACTGCTATAGAAAACAAGTTAACTCAAAATTGTTTGTCAATATTTAATAGGATGCCAGGAACTCATCTACTTATTCCTGCCAATATGAACAATTATGGTGGATTTGAACTCTCAGATTCTTTGATTAATGGAAAGTATACTCAGCTTACCTTAAGCCATTTTCTATGAGGATTGGTGAAAGGGTACGAACGAGAAATTTAATTGTGCTACAGGAAATTCACAGAGCAGTGTAGGATATCAGGAATGGGGGTTCGGGTGTAGTCCCTCTCTTCTACCCTTGGACACATTTGGGGGAGGGTGACACTTGATATATCACTGACATCTCAAGAATATAAAAGACAAAGGCTCTCCTGTCAGAAATCTTGGCTGCCTAGCTATTCTAAGCCTTCATATAATGAAAAATACATCTCCCAGTAACTCAAAGACAAGTGTCACCTTTTTATAGTACCAGTGTTTTGCATGAGCACAGCCCTGAATACAAAATAGTGTTCCCACCTTTAATATGAATAGGTAGAGTCCAGTCCAAGTTTCTGGTGAGGCACAGTATAACTGTGCTACCTGGGGACTCAAATATTGCGAGATAATTTACCAAAAAATTGAATGGCAACCTTCTATGGTGAACTTGTAGTGCAGAAGACTTTTCCCCCAAGAAAAGGACGAAGGAATCAAATCAACATTTACAGCATTTTGTGCAAAGGAGACTTTTTCACTGCGAGTCTGTCGACGATTTGTCCATCTTTTCGTCTAGAGTTTTGAGATAGTCACGAAGTTTCTGAACTTCTTCTCGTAATTGTCTGTTCTCGTCCTCCAGCAGTGCAGCTCTCTCCGCTACACATAACTCTTTCTGTCTCTTGAGATCTCGAGATCTTTTCGCAGCCTGATTGTTCTTCCTCCGTCTCTCCCAGTATTTTTCATCTTTAACATCTTCGTTCACTGTCTGTCGGGAGATCTTTCGCGGCTGTTTTCCCTCGTTATAGTCCACTGTTGCAGTCCCCCGTTTCTCTTTAAGATCATCTGCTTTCCTTCTCCTCCTTCGCGGTGCACTTGTTTTCTGTGCATCACTGTTATTATTTGTTGTCGATTTGCGCTTTCTCTTCTTGGGGAAGGCTCGTTCGGTCTCATTTGAGTTATGCGACTCGCACGAACTTAGAGAGGCAGGATTTTCAGAGCTAACACTGTCGCCTCGTCCTTCATCCGTATCGCTGGTACTACCTCCAAAGCAATCCGGAGATAACTGAGGAATATTCGAAGGTGGAAAGCTGTAAAACGGAGGGACATCTTCATCATCCACGAGATTAGCGATGTCTTGTTCTATTTCATCTTCCGAGTAATCACTCTCAGTTCGAGAAAGGCCAGTGCAGAGATCTTTGACGGCCAAAAACTCATCCAAGTCCATGTAATCTTTAAGAAAGTTGGCGGTCATCGTGATCAACCTGGCGAAGAAATTCAAATTGTCAAAACAACTTTGCGCTTAGATGTTCTGTCTCATTTCTCACCAGCGACGCCAGTGTTAAAACGTGCGTTAATATAAATGCTAACTAGTGTTAAAATTTTAGCGAAGTATATCTAAACTTGACTAAATTGTGCAGAATTGGTGCAGACCTCAGCTCTTAATTCATTCGTATCGCAAAGGTTCGCTGTTAAAGTTCTCGTCGCTGTCTACTTCTTCCTCTCTCTCTGCTTTTTTTTTTTAGAATATATCTAACTTATTTCACGTGCCGACGATAGTACTAAGAGAGACTGCCTCATCCAGGGAAAACTCAGACAGGATACTATTGGATAGAAACTTGGAACAATCAGCTTACTTCACGTGCGGAATATATTTGTTACTGGAGAAGTCACTTGGAGATGTTCGATAAAGGTGATTAGGTCACGTTTTGCGAACACAGCTCGTGAAACGTGCGTATGTGTTAAGGCGCAACACGCGACTGTTGGTGCTAAAGGAAGCGAGAGAAAGGAAAGGGTTTCGAAAGGGAGTTCAAGTTGAACTGAAAATTGCATTTTTATTTTCCTTTAAAGTTTTCTCTAGCATAGGGAAAATAATATTACTCCTGGATGATGCCTAAACTCTTTTATTTGCCCAGATTTTTTTCCGGCAGCTGTGCTGAGTCTGCTTTCCGATGTTTAGTGACATCAAAATCTTGAAAGACACTAGTCATTTTTGTTTAAGAAAAAGTGCATCTGCGCTAGGAAAACGAAGACTTCCATGATCTAAATAGTGCTCCGAACGCATTGGAACAACTTCACGCTTTCAAAAGTCTAAGGTATTAATGGAGACACGCTTACTTGCTCGCGTGCATCAGCCGCGTGACTCATGAAGTTTACGTACGACAAAGCACGTGTGGGAAAAAATTTTCCTCCCTCCCCACCCTGCCATTAATTTTCAACAGATGCAGCGAGTACCTGTATGTAAACTTTTGATGATGCCCTAAAATCATCGAGTCAATTTTTATCAAAACTGAAGACCAAACAGTCAACTCATCAGTTCGATGGAAATCTAATATCACCTGTTAACTTGTGAGGGAAATTGTTATTCAGATACATTTATTGCTCTCCCGAGGTTAGATCTCTCTTAATCTTGTGAAACACACCTTCATCTCTAAAATTAAGGCTGCTGATTTTCGCAGGCCCCTTCGTTGACAAGCCTGGGACAGTTTGCGACTTGAGTTGTTTGTTTACAACTTTGGGAGCAATGTCAACGTGTAAAATTGTAACAAACCACGTTTCACACGTGCTACAGCCACTGTCAGCCGTAAACTACCACCTCACCCCAACTCCCTCCCCTCCCATCCTGAGAGATATTATGAGCGGCCATAAAAGATATCATTCTCAACATGGCTGCTGATGGACTCTGCTTCCTCTCCGAAATCTGAAAGCAAATTTGACCATTCATACGAAGATGAAAGCTTTGCAACAGCAGAAGGAACTATAGGAGCTGATACTAGAAGCTCCCCTTTTGTTTGGAGAAGACAAGAAAGTATATTTCTAGCAGAATCTTCGACGTCTTCAGAAGACATTCAAACAATTTGCACTGAAAGGTGTGAAACGACTCCAGTCACAACTGAAAATGAATCAGCGAATACAATAACAGAAGAAGCTGATTATTCTGATGAGTTTGAATCATTCGCCGATTTAAGCGAGGGGGTGTTTACAGTACAAGTAAGGATAAGTTCATTCCTCTCTTCGATTAGTTTTTGTGTGCTTTGAATAAAATCAGGTTGAATCAGAAACAATAATACTACGTTGAAATTTTTGAACACTTAACCTACAGGATAAAGACGGCAGTGGGACAAAAGAGGACGAAGTACGGGCAAATTTCTTAAGTAAAAAGTTTGCAATTCTCACCTCAAGCCAGACAAGAAGTAAGACACAGACTAACACCGGGGATTTTGTGACGCGTCCGGCTGCAACGCAGGTTAAGACTGATGCGCAGAGAAGAAATGACAAAAAAGTTGATGGTTTGTAGTTGATGAAAGTTGACAAAATCACGCAATGAGATCCCGTAATTGTAAACAAGTATATATCGCGCCGCGTATGGTAGTCGATAATAGTACATGATAGTTGCAACTGTCATAATTGTCTATAATCAACTATCATGACCATTTTAACGGGACTTTAGATCTTTAGATGGGTCCAGTTGTTCGAAGGCCGATTAACACAAACCCAGGGTTAAATTTTGACTCGGGTTTCCTTATTTCTCTATTCAAGAACCTTTCTGAGATAATTTTCCCCGTTCTTTTTCGAGCATCTAATCATCAAATTGTAGACACAAATAATTAAACTGAACTTTCTCTTAAAGATTTCAGATCTGAAATCAAATTTCACGCTAATCCTGGGTTATCTTAACCCAGCTTTGAACAACCAGACCCTGGTATATACTTTACATCTCTTTCAATATGTGCCAAAGGCCCGGGCTCCCGGGAGCTTAACCCTAACTTGTCAGCTGTATTTTACAAAAGCAATAATTGAGTAGTAATAATGACATGACTTTGGTTAATAACCCCCTACTTCATTATGCACATAGTTATTTAATAAATAAATCCCTTCAGGTGGCTGATATGTCAGCTTACTATGTCCCCGCCTGAGCTATTGTCCAAGAAATGAATACCATAAAAGCCCGCAGATAAGCCACACCAGCAGATAAGCCGCACCCTGAATTAATAGCAGCTCAAATTTTGGAAAAAAAGTTTTTTGAAAGAAATAAAAAGAAATCCAAAGTCGAGTCTTGAGAAGTCTTCTTCATTCACTTATCATCTAACGTAAACTCAATATTAACATTGCAACAGAAAATACTTCAAAGTCTTTCCCACACTCTTAGCACTTTAATATAATGAACATCGTTTCTACCAACTTTGACATATGATTGGTCTTTTTGTGGTATTTGTTGACAGGAATTTCTTCATTCAACACAGTTTTTCCATATATTTTTGCATTACAACAAAAATGTGAGCAGAACATTCGAAGTTTAGTAACCAGGCATTAGATTCGACACGAAAATGAAAGTGGCATGGACGTTTGACATTCACGATGCCTTTTTCAAATGTTCCCGCGAATAAGCCGTACCCCCAATTTCTAGCAACGATTTTTGGAAAAAAAAGTGGGGCTTATACACAGGCTTTTACGGTGTGTGGTATTAAAGAGAAACTTCAAGGGCAAATATGAAACTTGTCTGGAACAAGCCATGAAAGAGTTTATATATCTTTATCAGTGGCAGATCTAGAGGACTGGCCAAGGGGGCCAGCAGGTGGACACACACACAAACATCAGGCTTCCTCCTTAGCTTAAGTTCTGGATCTGCCACTGTTTATTGTGTGGGCAGAAAAGGACAGAGTGCTCTTTCACAAAACTTAGGCAAAGTATGCCTGTGCAGCTGTCAAAACTATTGCAGGACATAGAGATTTGATTTCTGGTATTAACTTCTCAGGCCACAAATGTCAGGAAATCAACTTCTGTGCAAGGAAGTTGGAAATAGTGGAAGGAGATGTAAAGAAAACTGGAAAAGGACACGGTGAGTATAAATTGTTTTTCAAAAAATGTGTTACTAGATAAAAATTGAGTAATTAAAAAGTGGCTACTTGATTAGGGAGATGCAAAATTATGCACCAAGAGTTTAATCTTTAACCACTTTTTGGTACATTTGCAGAATTAAAACAATTCTTTGTATTTCTGTGTGGTATAGACGGAGCTGAATAATGTTGCGCATGCACTAGGTTTTGCTGTGGAAAACATATTTTTTTAGTAGTTTGCAGGGTTGATTTCCTATTCTTTTGCTTTGAGGTGTTGTTTTCCTTGCCACTTTTCTTTTACAGTACAACCTCCAAAAACTTGGTACACCCCCTCAAAATTTTCAAAAATTACATTTCTCCTTAAAACCTCTGGATATAGGGAGATGCCTTTGACAAAAAGTTCTTCAGTTTTAAATGTCAGCCCTTATTATTTTATGCTAGTTTTGCTAAATTTTAGACCTAGAACACTTGAGCCTGCTTTGATGACCGCACACCCTCTGACTTTGCATTCATTATTCAGCCCTGTCTGTGGTTTATACTAAAACAATAACTCATGGCAGTGAAAGTGGTGGATATTAAACTTGTTGCTTTGTGGCTCAGTAAATTTCCACCACTTTTCACTTCCTCTTTGGTGAATAATTGTTAACCCTTTCACTCCCACGAGTGACCAAGACAGAATTTCTCCTTACAACTCCAATACAGCGTCAAGCAGACAAGTGACGAGAATAAAGACAAGTATGAACAAAGGGATCATCAGTTGATCCAATACCAATTTCTCCAAGTTAACATTACAAGAATTGTATGACAGACATTGAGGAGAATTGCTAAGGAGATCTGAACCCTGGGTTAGGGTGCAGTACTCTGATAAAAAGGTTACATTTTGAGCCGAAAGAAAACTTTAATTGGAAAGTTAACTTTGTGTGCACTTGAGTGCTATCCTGGCACCTTTGAATTGTTGAAAATTTTAGGGTTTGGGGTAAGACTGTGCTTGGTAATACATGAGTTCCAGTAAATGAATCCTGGTGACAGTAAATTGTCATGAACACAACTCTTTTTTTAATCAGCTGAGCAGAGAATGATGGCAACAGCAAAAGGAATACCACATGGAGGTGATAAACCCATTGGGGGTAACAGAAGAAAGATTGAAGATTTGATGATTGAGAACCTGATGAACAAAGCAGAAAAGGTCAGTGCAACAGTGGAGTTTAAGAGATTTTTCATCATTTTAAAACCTTCTAAAGCAAATATACAGCCTCTGAAACCAAACTGGTTGTCCATGTGTGAGAGATGACCTCTTTCACTCCCAGAATTGGTTACAGTCGAACCTCGATTATCCAGACTTGTTGGGACCTCGGTAAATAGTCTGGATAATCGAGAGTCCGGATAATCGAGAGTCCGGATAATCGAAAATACAAATATTAATAAGATAGAAATGTAAACAAAAGGTATACAGCAAAGAAAACATCATTTTAATTGTGATAGCTATACAGCCTGTATTAATAAATAACACATCAGAATATTTCTTTGTCTTGTTGCACTTGTGAATTTTGAAAAGCACACAGGATAATACACTGTTTTAACACACTGTTTTTTCTTTTGAAAGGATTAGTGGGCTTTTTGCGACTCTGAGTTTTCAAGATCACAACTAATTAATATTCATGAAAAATTGGATCAGAGAAAAAAGTCCGGTTAATCGAATTGTCGGGGTAATCGAGGTCCGGATAATCGAGGTTCGACTGTATCAATACCAGTGAGAATCAAAAAAATTAAGAATCAGTCAGCAGTTTTTGTCTTGGTGTTCAGACTAAATTCAGGAAAACATAATAAGATTAATTGAGGAACCCATCAGGAATGAATGCCTCCTTTCCTTTACTTGATTTCTGATGAGCACTAGGTCTTAAAATAGACCCTTATTTGAGAATTTTGGGTAAAAATTAAACTGGATTTCAAGTATTTGATGTCCATTATTTTTGCTTACAGCTTAAAGAATTGGACTTCCACAAACCCAAATACTGCACTAACTGCAGGTAATCATACACACTTAATGTATGGTCCCAAGGGAAACAGTTAGTTTTGTTTTCCCTGAGAGTCCTGATTTGCTACCTTTCTATAATCAAGAAATGGATAGATATTCTAGTCTTCACGGATAAGGACGAATAAACCGTAGACCCCATCTTTTGCAGGGGTAGGGGAAGGAGACGTTAATTTCCCATGCACGAGATTACTGTGTGGTGGATGTCCTCCCCTGGGTGGGATGGGACAGTGTTGGCCCTGAAAAACCCCTATGGGGAGTGGTCAATGAACCTATGTATGTATGTATGTAGGCAGGCAGGCAGGCAGGCAGGTAGGATGTTTCCTAAGACGAAGTTGAGGAAAACATCAGGACTCTTGTGAAACCAAAACTAACTTATTTCCCTGAGGGACCACAGATTAAGTGCTTTGTTATGGATTTATACTTTCCCTAAACAATCATAGGGCAAAAACATGCTGTTGTATTTGGTGTGTGGGCTACAACTGCGCAATTGCAAACCAGTCAGAATACATTTGAATTTGAGCAGGGGCATGTGACCAAGAATCAACTAAATCACAGTGCTCATTTTGTTGAGTGAAAGTCGAGGTATACAACAATACTTTTTGTTCAACAGAGTACACAAGCTCCCTCTTTATTTGTCCAGAACAAATTCATTTCTGTGCCAAGGGAATAACTTCTCTTTTAATTTTCTTTTCAGGAAAATGAAGGCTAGTGTTGCAAGTAAGACTTTTTTAAAAAGAAAGGTGGAAATAGCAAAGCCAGCTGAATTTGAAGAGAGACTAGAGTTACATTTGTATCACAAGGCAAGTTTGATCAAATTCCATGACATTCCATTACCCTTGAGCAGGTTCAACTTATCCAATGGCATGTGTCTGTTTTGATCTTTTACTCTCAAAAGTCTCATTAGCAATTCTCCTTACTGTCTGCTACACAATTCTTATGATGTTAATTCAGAGAATTTGGTATTGGATCAATTAATGATCTCTAGATCTTAACTGATATATTTCTGCTTGCCATGGTAATTTCATGGTGGGATGAATTCCTGTCTGATCACTGGTGGAAGCTAAGGGGTCACACAGATGGCTGTGCAGTACATTCAGGGTTCACTGATGGGGTAATTTTTTTTTTTTTTTTAATACAGGATTCTGCTACCCTCCTTGCTGAGATAGTGAATTCTTGTACAAAGCCTTCTGATTCCCCAAGTGAAGTTTGGGAAAAAGTACTTTGTAAAGGAAGAAAAACACAATAACTGGTGTAATTCTAATAATTTGACTCATATAATTTGTGTCAAGCTCCCAGCCAGTGGAGCTGAGTAATAAAATATGCAAGTGAAAATCTGCAGGGTTATGTTGAAAAGGACATTAGACCTGTCTCACTGATGTGTCAGGTTGCTAAAGTGATGGAAAACTTCACTTTGGCTAGATTACTGCCTGTATTAGTTGACAAACTTGACCTTAAACAATTTGCTCTATCCGGCAGATCGACCACTCAAGCGATAGTGTACTTACTCCATCTTGCACTAGGTGTGCTAGATAAAGGGAACTGTGCGTTGAGTTTTTTTTTTTTTTGCAGATTTTAAAAAGGGTTTTGATCTTATAGATCATCAAATCTTGCTTCGTAAGCTCTCGGGTTTTGGTTTACATCTCTCCTTGGTGAGGTGGGTAGCCGCCTTTTTACAAGGCAGATGTCAGCATGTCCAGCTCGCAAATGTGTCGTCAGCTAGTAAATCCCTGAATGGTGGAATTCCCCAGGGGACTAAGCTGAGTCCCATTTTGTTTGCCGTTATGGTAGACAATCTGGTACACTCTTGGGGTCCTAGAATTAAATACGTAGATGATCTAACAATATTGGAGGTAATTCCTTGCAATTCCCCATCTGTAATGAAACCTGTTGTAAATGACATTAACAGCTTCGCTCATAATAACAACATGCAGTTGAACCTTAATAAGTGCAAGCTGATGCGGGTCAATTTTTTGCGTTATAATAGTTGCTACAGTTGGCCAATAGCAGGAGGAGGCTCTGCTATTGAATTGGTAGAATCATTCAAGGTCCTTGGGGTGTATATTCTATGGACCTCAGTTGGTCAACTCATTGTGACTATATAATAAAGAAAGCAAACTGTCGCCTCTATGCTCTTAGAAAATTGAAAGCTTGTGGGGTACAAGATGGGGAGTTGATGGCTGTGTACTGCTCCCTGCTAAGACCTGTCCTAGAGTATACATCGGTAGTTTTAGCAAACTTACCGCAGTATCTCTGCTTGGTGATTGAAAGAGTACAAAAGAGAGCCTTGTAAATCATCTTTGGTCCTGACTTGAGCTACGAGGACGCCCTCATGCGTGCCAGGCTTCTGTCTCTAGAGGCTAGACGTCATCTGACATACAAGAAATTTGTGGCAGACATTATGCACACAAGCCCGCTTTATCCCCTAATTTCTAACAGGGTCATTTGGTCGCAAACCTCGTATTCGCTGAGGTCGGGACAATCGCGTCATGTGCTATGTGGCCGAACTGACTGTTTCTTAGAGTTCGCATCAGTTAAATATGCTTCGTATATTAACAGTGTGTAGTTATGCGCATTCATTTTCTGCTACATTGTTACTATACTATATTTATATTTATATAATTACACGTAAAATACATACACATATATTTGTATGTTTGTGAGTGTAGTGTCTGACCCTACCAGTAATTCAGAGAGATCTGCAAATGGTGGAAATGGACAAATATTGTTGTAATGTTGAGTACTCCCAGAAAGTGTCGGGAATATGATAAATACTGACATCTGTACAATTTTAATGCATTTCATGGGCACTAACTGGTAAATTAACCCTTTTGTTGTGGACAGATTATCAATGAACCAGTACATTAGTGAAATCAGCAGGGTTGACTACTCTTACCAGTCTCCTTTTTTTCTCTGACACACTCTGCCAACTCCCAATAACAAAAAGCTTTGACTGACTTTTCACCAACCTTGGCAAAATGCTTCTGCAAGTCATTGGAAATCCATAACAAAAAAAAAAAAAAAAAATTAAAACATGGGAATTCACTGAATGACTGCATGGATAATGATGAGTTTACTCATTTTCTAAGCCAAGTTATCTGTTGTTCCATCTTGAAAAAATTAACCAAGGTTACTATTTATTGAAAGATATTTACTTAAACTTCGTCCAAGTAAAATGTAATATGTTATTAGTGAAAGAATATTTACATAATAAAAAAGGTTCATTTGACTGTTATTCTTAGACTGAGGTTAGTGAGTACCGGAACGATTGTTTTCGGCCACTGTGCTTCACAACTTTCTTCCCCCTTGCCCCCAAAAATGGGTTATAACCTTCCATCATTCATCACCCCCTGTCCAACTCACCAGAGATAAAATAGAGCACTAGGGGTTACTTGCACCAAAACACTGGACAAAAAAAGTGATTATTGCACAAAAGCAAATACATTGCCTTTAACCAAAGTGTCTTTTCACTCTTTTATTCATGCACTTGTACTGAAATTTAGAAAGAGCTGAAATGGCTACAACTTTTGTATTTTCTTAACACACACTCAAAAATAAAGATAATGATGTTATTAAATTAATTTATTATACGATAGAAATCTTTATATTTATCATCACTGGTGCTGTACCAACAACCTAAGTGTCACCTCATAACTACTTGTTATCAGGGATTTTGTCACCATCCTCCCTACAAATGCCTGCTTTTTTTTCCTGAGAGCAACATTCTCTTCCATCTTTAAGGGCAATCCAACTTCAAATGAAGCAGGAGGAAAGGAAAATCCTTGAACAAACAGGTGTTTGTAAGAAGAAAGGCGACAGAATATCTAAATTGAAAGACATGCTTCAAAACCTTTCGCGACAAGACCTTCACCTGCATCAAATCATCATACATTTCAATGTGAACTGTCTGAATATGCAGCATTGTGCTAACTACTGTTTCCCCACTTTAATCTTTCATCATATACATATCTATATAAATTTTAGCCATTTGAGTGAACACAGTAAATAGCAGAGTTGGCTCATGATGGCAAGATTAAATGGAAAATTAACAAAAAAGGTATTAAATATTTCATTTACATTAACCTTGAAAGGTAGTCTACCTTAACTGTTAAGCACTGGTAAATTCTGGTTTTTTTTTAAAACCATTAAGCTCCCTAATTTTCTTTCAAGAGCAAGGAGAGTAACACTCTTAATAATATTTACTGAAATCACCATGTTGCACTAATAAACCTAATATAATAATTGTAATTTTATGGAAAATAGTGAGTTGTGTGGAAAGAGGAAAGTTAGAAAGAGGAGGTGGGTTCTATGCCATGTTACACAAATCATAAAATCATTGTGGTTTTAGGAGAATTAATTTGTTTCCAATTTCTATTTTAAGTACTTTGTAAACCAAAGTTCCAGGCCAATGTTGAAATAAATATTCATTAAGAAAATAATGGCCATCTCCTTTCATGAATTTACATGAAATTACATGTTACTAAGCTCAATAAACAAAGCTGCTTTCGTCATCACTGTGACAAAAAAAAAATGGGAAAAAAAAGGAAAAACAGAACAGAACCACTCTGCAACACAACAACAAAAAAATATTGCCTTTAACCTTTTAAACCCTAAGGGTGACTGGTATCTAATTTCTCCTTACAATACACCGAATGCAAATATGGCAACCAATTTGAGTTGCCATTGTTCTGGACTCACTAGCCTCTCACACATGAAATAATCCTTTTGTGTTTCCATGTGAAGATGAGGCTAGTGAGTCTAGAACAATAGCAATTCAAATTGGATGCCATATTTGCATTTGGTGTATATCAAACCTGAATTCCACATTGAGGTCATCAGAATAAAGGAAATGATCACCAACTAAAGAAGCTCTTGACTGTTTAACAAATTTTCCTTGTCAGTACTTAAGGAAATGTACAGAGAACAGTATGGAGAATATACATACTGATGTCTGGGTATAATGGGTTAAGGCTACTAAATTTATTACTTGCAATAAGTAAAAGAGTGTAGAGCACTTGATCCATATTTGAAATTGCCTTGAATTTGCTCTAAGGACCTCTTTACTAAGCCTCACTCTGGTTGGGAACTTTCCTTTTTAACTGAGGATGAAACTGAAAGAAAATGATTGAAAAAGCAATTTGATTACTCACACCATGATTCATGATTCATAATTTTCTGACAATATTTTAATCACTTAGAACATGCAAGCACACTTCTCAAGAAATTAATTTTTAACAAGTTTTTATGGGGACTATGCAAATGAGTCAGTCAGTCACTCACTAATAATAATAATTTAATAATAATTTACCAATTTATATAGCGCATATTTACATGTGCTGATCAATAGCGCTTTACATGTTGTTGTTAAAGCTGAGATCAGACGTCAGGATTTTATCAGGCACCTCTGGCAGCCGCTTCATTCCATGTAACAATCTCACCTTCCCACCCATCCCACCCCAGGGGAGGACATCCATCACACAGTAATCTCATGTGTGGGAAATTAATGTCTCCTACCCCTAACCCTGCAGGAGACGGGACCTTGGCTTTACATCTTATCTGAGAAGATGAAGCAATGTGAGTGAAGGGACCTGCTTAAGGACATAACATAGTGCCCCAGCCAGGACTTGAACCCGGGCCATCCGACCCAGAGTCCAGCGCACTGACCACTGGACCACCCACCCACGTAGACAATGTGGAAATTAGTCATCCCAAACTCGCCCGAGCACAAAACAACATTGGAGCTGTAGTAATCACGCATAAAATGTTAGTAAGGCTTTGTTACATACATACATTGCATTGTTGCTTTAAATATCACCTTCCAAGTAAAAAAAAAAATGATCAAGTTCAGGTTTAAACCTAATACTGAATCGATTTGATTGTTTATGGTCTGATGTAAAACAAGATCCATGAATGAATTTGATCATCTTAATAAGTAAACATTGGCAGCTGAATTGACCAGAAGGCAATGAAAATAATCCTGTCCTTTTCTTACGAAAGAAATCTTGTGGAATTCACTGCCACACATGTTTATTATCAATCGGACAAAAAAATTGTGAATGCATAAAATGTGTCAGATATTTCATTCCCAAGCGAAAAACTTTAGACTTTTTGCTATCACAGGCAAGTGGGAGTAAAGGTTGTAAACAATGATTACTGCATTACAATACAACCATTTAAAACATGACATTTGAATGGAAGATGGTGAAATTTGGATCATAGCGTCTAAATCTGACAAATGCAGAATCCTGTTTTATGCAGCTGTTTTTGTAAACTGCATATTAATGCATCATTAATCTACCGAATTGGATGGTTACCATAATTCTGGATCTCTCTGTGACTTTCAAAAAGCTTGGCTTTTTGAGATAAGAGTAAGCTTGTATTGCTGCAGGAATAATAATTACAAGTTCACAACCACTTCTCCTCTCCACATAAGAACTCTATGTGCAAGTTAGCCATAAGTATTCTTTGATTTTTTTTTTTTCGCACTCACAAATAATGCGTAAGGAATAAATTGGTTTCTATACAAAATATGTTTGCATGAAAATCAGAAGTCTTACCTTTTCTGAAGTCTTTGATTTCAACTCTTAATGGGCTGGTGGCTTTCTTTACATTGACAGAAGAACTCCATGCAGAAATTGAAGTTTTCTCCACTTGTATTTCTAAAGCACGTGGTAATCTGGTCACACCACTAACTGTTGATTCTTTAGGGTGGCTTTCCTCAGACTCACAAGAAGGTTCTGGAGATGTTTCATCATCTGTGTTCTTGTCTAAATCAACCAGATTTTCAATAACCTCTGGCAGTTTTGCCAAGGGTAAATCTGGATTTTGTTCTATGCCTGGTATTTGAAGCATCTCCTGCGTCAAAACAGTTGAAGAATGTGATGATTCTTCTTTAAATATATCGTCGGGAATCTTGGGAGAGCTTTGAGCACTCCTCACCAAGTCATCAACTTGATTGTTGATTTCAGTAGTTCCCAAATCTAAGGCAGTAGTGGCAAGACTTGTCTCTACAGATGTTGTCGTAGATACCACAATGGGGGTTGACATAACAGGCACGGACACAAGAGGGGTCGTAAAGGTTGAGCTTGAAGTGGGTGGGTTTGATGCAAGCAGACTCGATGCTGCTATTTGTTTTGGAACTAGATTGAATGGATCTAAACATGTTTTGATCAGAGGCACATTAGAACCACTACTGGTCTTCATACTTGGAGAAGATGGCAAGGAATTTTGAGCTAGTGATGGGAGACTTGTGTTCAGAGGAGATGAGCACGAAATAGGAATAATTGGTATTAGAGAGATCTGTGGATGTTTTGTTGTGGTTGAAAAAGTTTGTTTTGAAGATGACAAGTTAACTTGACTGCTCTGAAATGTTGGTGTGCTTGTAGCCATGGACAGTATTGGTGAGTCAGTTGTTGTTGAGCAAGCATCAGGTTGTCTAGGAACTACTTTCATTACAACATTTTTTAGACCACTTAAAATTCCAGCCACAGGTGTAAAAGTCAGACTTGCTGGGCTTGTAGCTGTTTTTGCGTGAGAGACCTTGTTGGCTTGTAATTTGTTGAGAGAAGCTAGTGCTCTAAGTGCAATGTCAGAAGTTTGCTGATTTATGCTTTGATTCACCCCTGAGTTGCTGGTTGATGTTATCACACCATACTGTTTTCCATCAATAATAACTTGTGCTGTTGGTAAAGGTTTCAGAGGTATCTCCGAAACTAAGATGGTATTTTCAACATGTTTTTGCTCTATGGGTGTTGTTGAAATCCTAGGTGCTTGAGATGTTTTAGCAGCCCCTATTGTAGCAAAATTTGGTGCCCTTGAACTTGGCATTGCTGAACTTTGCTGACTTGTTGTCAATGTGGATGCCAAGGAGGTGTTTAAAATGGCACCATCTGCATTTTCAGGTTTCACAGGCTTCAGAGGAAGCTTGGAAATGAAGATTGCACTCTCAACATGTTTTTGCACTGCAGGTGTCTGAATTCCAGGTACTTCAGGTATTTTAGCAGTCCCTCTTGTGACAAAATTTGGCAACTTTACACTGGGCATTGCTGAAATTTGCTGACTTGTTGTCGAGGTGGATGTCAAAGTGGTGTTCAAACTGGCACCATCTGCATTTTTTGAAGCATTGCTTGTACCAGTAATTGTAATATGCATAACATTCTTACTTTCTAGGCTCTTCATTAATGGGCCATCACTCCTAATGATACGTATTCCAGAAGCATTGCTGGGATTCTGTTGGGTACTCAACCGTGAGAGATTACAAATAATTTTGTCGCTGGACGGCTGCTTCACCTGTCCAAGGGTGTCCTTGATCACTTTCTGCTGCGTTGGATGCAGCTGCAGAATAGGAATACTAGGTTTGGGCAAAATTTTCACCAAACTGATGTTTGATTCTTCTTGGCTGGTTGATTCCAGGGATGGCTCACTTTTTCCTGTGCTGCTGTCTGACAAGAAAATATGTGGTATTTGAGTGAATAATTTTGATTGATCTTGACCCACTTTCTGACTTTGCATTTCACATGATGCATTTAAATTGACTGAAGGTGATGTCTGTGTGGAGGATGCCACCAAACCTAAAGTATCTTTTGATGTTTCCAAAGGACCCTCTGTGGTAGTTTTCTTTGGAGGAACAATTAAGCTTTGTGGATCTTCCCTGTTTTTCAGTGGTGCTCTGTTACTGATATTGGAAATCCATGACACAGGAGACAGTAATGTCTTCTTTGCCCGTGGACGGCCCTTGACACAAGGTTTCATTGCCCCTTTGGATTGGTTACTTGTTTCCATAGCTATATCTTGTTTACTACTTAAATTTTCTTTTAATTTTGAGATATCTTCTTCTTCTATAGTAATGTTCAGACGCTTTAATATGGCATCAACCATTGAAGGTTCAACATTGATTGAAGTTTTTCCGAACATCAGTAAATTTCTTTTCTCCTGAAGGTCTTTGTTAGCCTTCATAAGCTCATTTTTTGTGTTAATCAAATCTTTCGACTCTTTTGTTAATTCTTCCACTGTACTAATTCCTTTACTGAGAATGGCTTGTTTACTAAAGTAAAGGTCTACATCGACAAGATCAGTAAACACCTCCACCTTCATGTCATTGAACAGATCACCCAGGTGGTGACGGCGCTTTCTTTCTGTAGCACTCCTTGTTGCTTTAACAGTGTCTGGATCACGGCCATTTTTCTGTGACAAATGGGAGTGTAAGTCTTCAGAATCATCAGGTTTAATAATTTTGATCACCTCCCCTTCCTGCATTTTGGCACATTGCAAGAAAATATCAATTTCATTTGGCAATGCTTGAATGGATGTATCAATTGTTCCATCTCTTGTCACTCCAGGGTGGTAGCTAAAGTGACTAGCCTCTACACCACTCACCACAAGAAAGTTTTTACTTGTTTCTTTCCCGACTGTTTCAATGTCAACTTCTGTAAATTCATCTCCCTTCTCAGATTCTTCTTTTTCAACCTTCTCAATCCTATTATTCAAGAGAAAACAACCACTACCATCGATGGTGTCCACTTCTGAGGAATGGTCACTCAAGTCAGAAAAAACACTGATGCTTGTTGTTTCATCTCCTATATCAACTTCCTGGTCACTGCTGATCATTGTCAAACTATCCAGTGAAATCTTCTCTGCCCCAGGCCCCTCTTTAGGTAGACCTGGCTCAGAAGTTAAATTGACAGTCAAGTTCAATGACTGCATATCACTTGCTGACTCTGAACTATTCAGTTTATTTTTCCAAAAGCCACCTTTAATAGGCCAGGCTATGGTTCGTGCACTCCAAGATTTCTCCATTTTTGGCTTTAACAATAATGACAGCCCTTGAGTTTTCATACTCTCTTCATTAATGCTGCCTTCAATTTGTAAATTTTCCACATCTTGTAAAGTAAGACTTTCATCTTCTCTTAAGTTATCTGTATTTTCTTTTTGGGTTCCCCCTGAATCTTGGACTTTTGATTTGCGTTGTCCTCGTTTCTTTATTCTAAATTTGGTTTGACTTGTTTGATCACAGTGTTCATATTTCCTTTTTTTCTTCTTTTTCTTTCTAGGAATCAAATCACTGGAGGTCCCAACCCCTTCTGATGCAACCTCGTTCACCCTAACAGAAGCAGATAAATCAGCCAAATCATCTTGTACATCCTTGGTAGCAACAGATTTTGCAGAAGCTTTATTTATGTCCTCGTGCGGATCTTCATCGTCCCCTAAATCCACAGTTTCGGAGCACAAAAGCGAAATTTCAGAGAACACGCTCGAAGACAGATCATTGCTTTCGCTTGCGTTACCAGAAACAATTGCTGGGATTGATTGAAAAAGCTCTCGGTCAGCTAAAAACGTGCTCGCCGTTAAAGCTGTGTCGGTTTTCTCCCTTGGCGATATCAACGCGTCGGTTGTCAAGGGACAAGATTTCTTGGCAGCTTTTTTCTTACCGGTGGCGGCTTTTTTCTTGCTTGGTGGAGCATTCAGGTCCGCTTTTCCCCCCCGGCTTCCAACACTAGGCTCTGCTTTCCTTTTCTGACACACATTTACACTGATGGCCGTCGATGTCGTTTCGTTGATTTCGATGTGACTTTGGAGTTCATCGAGCGACGTGAAAGACAAGAACGCAAACCCACCGAGGAGGTCCAAATCGGGCTCCAGAAGAATACTCCTAGAAGAGCTTGCAGGAGATTTACCTTTCCATCCCGCTTTTGAAACAAATCCAAACGTGGAATTCGTCAAATTAGCGTTTAAAACTTGAGCAACTGGGCTGTCTGCGGCAACCTTCGTCTTGGACTTGCTCCCCATACCAGACTGGTTCCGGAAACTTCCCACTACGCCCTGTGCAGTTTGTACCAAATAACCGCCAGATCGGCCTCTAAGCAAATGTAATGATTATTGAACTTGCTCTTGAACCCAATCTTGGCTGATTCTGAAGAAAATATGCTGCAAAAATCAGCCATTCCTCGGTTGTTTTTCTCGAGTTTGGAGATCGCAGCCACGTGTTTTCACCCAGAATCCTCCACCCTATTCGTCGCCATGTTGAATTCCAAATAAAGCGCTGATTGTTTTTTTAGCCAATACAATAGCTTACCCTCAAAGTCATGGTCGGCTTCCGGCCGCTTGACTTGTTGTGTAACAACATCCAGGCACATCCCATGGAAACACCGGGTTGTAGTGAATTTGTTCTTAATTCTCAGAGATGTTGCTTCAAACTAAGAAGAGTTTCACTAGAGTCTGTGTTGGACTGTTTTTCTTGCTAGGTGGTATCGAATATGGTAGGGAATCATTGCATATGTAATATGTATCGAGCTCAACTTTGCGAACTGTTTTGCAGTTTTGTAGCTTCTTTATGTTATTTTTTTGTTTGGCGTGTTTCACCTTCTCGTGTTTGAGTCAGTAAAAATTGTTGTAAGTACTTAAGTGTGTGTAACCTTGTAAATTCGAATAATTACTTCCAGAACAGTGACAAAGAAATTAAATTGATATCTGTGGTTACGTTACGTCAGTCGACGGAATGTTTAGTTTATTCTGTAGTAACATCGCGTGAATTGAAGTTTAGTATTTTTGCACAATTATAGTTGCGAGGGTGCTGATTCCAAATCTTTTCTCAAAAGTTAATTATTTTCCGAAATAATCTCTGGTGGGAACAATCTTCCTAATGAAACCAATTACGGACAATAAATAAATTGAATTAAAAACTCGTCATGTGACTTTTGTCTGAGGTGAGTTGTTTGTTTTCCACATGTTTTCCCTCATGTTTTCAATCATCTTTAAATTGTAACCCTGGTATGTTGTGTGACCAAGTAAATATACACACATTACAATCTCTCTTTGTTGTTTAGGTTTGATTAAGGTCATAGGTTACTTAAATAAGCCTACTAGTCCAAGATATCAATAGAGAATTTAACTAGAGACGTTTTTGAGATTGGGAAGGCAACTGAAAGAAGAATAAATCTAACTCTGATGCCCTCTAATGTTGACCGTAAGGTCGTAGTCTTTTCAATTAGGATTTTAAACTAAGCTGTGCTAACCAAAAAGGTGTATTGAGCACCAGGAAGGAGAACTTTTAACTTCTGACTGTAGTCCGCATCTCAAATATGTTGGTGCTTATCTCCTTTTTATCAATTCTCAACGCTGGCTGCCATACTTTTTCTTTACTCCGAGATCTGAGAATTTATTGTCAGATCAGACATTATATCTTTTATATCTTTTTAGTGATTTCTTATTTTCGTCTCACCACCTGTCTACTTGGGACTCTACCAATACTGCAAGGAAAAAAAACTTCGTTTTGGCCTCTCTTAAGAGTAAAAGGGTCAAGTATTACTCGTAATACTCAGGAAGAGGATATTTTCCCTTTTAGTGTGTGGAATGTCAGAACTAAAGAATTAAATATCTTTTTGTATCCCTGTAGCTGTGATTCTTCCAACTCTTTGGTTGTACCTGGAGCACAGATTTAAAGCAGAGGAATGGTTTTTTGGGGTAGTATTTGCAGCCTTCTGTTTCTCAAATCTGTTATTCAGTCCTTTTTTCGGTTTCTGGGTTGATTATACACGCAAAACCAAATCTGCAATTCTGTTTGCAAATTTGTTTGAGATTGGAGGTTAGTTATATTAGGGTTTTGTGATTTTACTTATTAAGTAGTCATTTTAAATGGTTAATACGATTGTTTTTGTAACCATGATCAGTTGCTGTTATACAAAACGTTTTTGTTTTGTTTTGTTTTTTTTTTTTTAATGTGGACAGTTTTACCAAAGGTGTACAGCATTTGTTTTTTAAAAATACAGGCCTTGTCTTAAGAATACCTTCAGCTTTTCTTCGCTTTTGTAAAGTTAATTGAATGACTAGCTAACAATCACTTCCAGTTTTTTATTATTTTACGTAATCAAATATAATAAGCAGACTCAGTGATGTCATACTCCATAATACAGTCTGGTGAAAAAAAATAAAAGGAATTTCCCAAAATTACCAAGTTCTGAAATTATTAAGTTTGGAAACCTTAAAAAAAAATTGAATGAATGTTTGTGTATATTCTAACAACACCACATCATTTAAAAAAGGTGTCATTCCACATCTTGCAAATAAAACTATTTTTTTTTCAGGCAATTTCTTATATTTTGTTGCTTGGTCCAAGTACTGGGTTCTTGGTGCACGACTTATTTCAGGTAGATATTTCACTTTATCAGCTCTTTGTAACTCCTAACATTCCATTTAGCATTTCTCCCAAATGACCACGGCATATAGTTCCTTGTAAATAAGATGGGAATTTGGTGTTATAACAACATAACACCCTCTTGCCAATAAGCTTGTCTACTCTCCTTACCTGTTTGCATGATAACATAAGAATCAAAAGGAGAATTTACAAGTCAATCACTTAAGATTTACTATGGAGAATACTTTGAAGGGAAAGACAAAAAAAAGGGTAGTTTTAGTTATCTGTGGTCCATGCATTTTATGATGGTTACTTTATAAACAATATTATTACATGACTCGGGTAGTCAGAGGGCTAATAACTAAAATCAACCAATCAAAATGCTCTATTGCCAGTCAAAATTCTCTCAGTATTGGACTGGGCACTGTCCTGAATGGTCCCGAATGATACCGCACTCGTGTCCCTTTGAACTTTAGTCGTATAATAAATCTCTTATTAACCAAGCTTGCTCGGGACCGTACTGGAATAATATCGGCCCTCTGTCTTTTTTGTACAGACCTCGCTGCGCTTGGTCCCTACTGTCAAGACCTCAGGCCGATATTCTCCCAGTACAGCCCTTGCGCTTGGTTAATAAGATATATATATTACTGCTAGTAATTAATAATATAATTTAAGTCTGGTAATCACAAAATTGTTAATAATTGAACAGGGATGGAAAGAAAACTTTCTGTGATTTCACTGTTGATATCAAATCCGCTGACAATGAAAATTACAAAAAAATTGAAGGAAAACTCCTTCAATGATTGTTTTCTTCCTTACTAACAATCTGCAAATTGAATTGCAAAATGATACAAATTAAAGTGATGATAAAAGCTACAAAAAATTAAAGGAAAAATTGTTTTAAGTAACTATAAATTTTGCCAAAGCATTTCATCCAGGATTTGAGAGTGGTTGTGTCTATTGTAAGGTATTGGTGTGGCAGTAGGTGCTGGAATTTTTGCTCAGATTGCAAGAACAACAACAGAACAAGAGCGAACTGGGATGTTTTCCATTGCAATGGCCTTGCGACAGTTTGGTTTGTTAATAGGTGCGTACTATCACCAATTATTAAATACTAACATGGAAGTTTTTGCTTTGTTACTCATACAACTGAAAGCAACTCTAGGCTTATTTTGGGTGATGTCGTCATATTTAGAAGTAGTCAATCAGGGTTAACTTGAATGTAAGCTGTAATGTTACTGTAAAGTAACTGTCAATTTACTGTAATGTTACTGTCAAGTCGGTGATTTATTTCTGGTTTTGTGGTTTGCTTAAAATGTATGTCCTGAACTGTGATGTGATTGTTTATGGCACAAGAACCATGTGGGAATTATTCATGGCTTTCTGAGTTTGACAGAAATATCAGCTTTTATTTGTCCACATGAAATTGTTTTGTTTGGTTAATTTATTTTATTTCTTGTGTTTACTGTGCTATAACCTGCATTATTGATTGCTTGATCTTACCTTGAGAACGATGAAGCACTTTTGATTTATTACAAACTTGGCCTTGAGCTTATGCTGATATTTATATTACATTTCAGGACCTGGTTTCAATCTGTTTTTGAGGAAGTTAAATTTCAAAATAGGACCATTTGAGGTGGATTCATTTACTGCACCCGGAGTAAGTGTTTAGGATTTTGCAAATTAAACATTTCTGGCTATTTTTTTTTAATACAAATACATAATTTTTTATTTAATGACAATTGAGTGTTTTTTTTTTTCCTTTGTTAGATCTTCATGGCTGTTTTGTGGCTGTCACTAGAATTGATAATGGTATTCTTCTATTATGACCTACCAACAGTCAAAAATGATATTGATGATCAATCAACTGATGATGAGCAACATGGATATGAGTACAGTGGTGAGAATAACAGTATCCCGAGAAACTCAGTTAACAATTCAGTAAATGTGCAAGCAACAGAAAACAAGGACAAGTACCTTGTTACCAGTGACGTGATAAGGGATTTGACAAGCAGACACAGTTCAGTTTTGGATGGCGAAAAGCAAAAGCTAATAACAACTGCAGCTTCTCAGAAACGTGTAAGAACTGGATCAGTAATGGATAAGTGGAACTTGGCTAAAGGTATGCTTGGCTTGTTATTTCATATTCATTCGGTCATCAAACTACTATCCCTTAAAAATCCTAGTTGTGATTATCATGTAACCCCTCCCCACAGTATCCATGCATTATCCATGAAACAGGTAATGAGAAAACTCAAACTTATCAGGTAGAAATTGTAATCTTGATCTAATGCTAAGTTCTGGTAACTCGTTTACAAAGAAATATGTAATAGTCAAAAGGGAGAATTAGAATCTTGTCTTAGAAGTTAACAGGTGAACATTTAAGGAAAGGAAGAGTTGAAATTGTCAGTGAACTGGGCCAATTTTATAACATGATGTCTGAAAATTTTACACAGTTGGCTAAAGGAAGATGTGATATTCTGGTTGAGATGTTTCATGATTTCATGGAATAAGAGAAAGATGCCCAAAAAGATATTCAAGACTCCAAAAAGAAAATCATTGGAGCTTGTGATTTTGTGTTCCCAGTTCTCCCGGTTAGCTCAATTGGTTAGAGTGCTGGATTGTGTTGTGCAGGAGGTCAAGGGTTCGAGCCCCGGCTGGACCAATACTCATGGTCTTAAAATAAGTGAGGAGAATTTGCTACCTTTCTATAATATCAAGAAATGGATAGATATTCTAGTCTTCTCGGATAAGGACGAATAAACCGTAGGCCCCATCTCCTGCTGGGTTAGGGGTAGGAGACGTTAATTTCCCACGCACGAGATTACTTTGTGGTGGGATGTCCTCCCCTGTGGTGGGATGGGAGGGAAGGTGAGATCGTTACATGGACTGAAGCGGCTACCAGAGGCACCTGATAATGCTGACATCCGATCTCAACCTTATCATTGTAACTAGACACGTTTGTTGTTTAGGGTGCTTAAGACTTTCTTTCTTTCAATGTTCTAATACCAACTGAGCTTTGAAGCCTCAGATATTGTGTGTTATTTGACTCGCATTACGGGGAAGATAATTGGACTTCTGAGTGTTTACTATAATTATAAATTTTTTTTTCTATAGATCTTGTCCGGGAAGAAGTAATTGTTATCCTGGCATCACAATTTATGATGTTCTTTAATGAAACAGCCCTAGAGGTTTGCCACACCCCACTTTTTGTCAAGTATCATGTAAAAAAAATTGTTCTATTCAGTGAGCTGATAGCAATGAAATTTTTAAATTAAAATACATTTTTGAACAAATTTCAAGAGCCCTGTATAAATTACGTACATGTAAACTTAGCTCATGGAAATGCTGTTTCATTTTATGATACAGAAAGAGAGTGAGTTCTTCTTCATAAGAATTTTATTTCTCAAAATTTATGTCAGAAAAAGTGGAGTGCATAATCAGCTCCTCAGGTTAACCATATTGCCTATGTCAATATACCCTGTTGCCTTCAGTTGATAACACTCATACCCCCACCAAGATAAATCCTATTACTGCAGGCAAAGAGATATCACATCTTAGGAAAATAAGGAGTCTGGGATTTCATTAATAGCTCCATGCAATGCATTGCTAGACCTAACTTAGACTTCACTGACACTCTGATCTGCACTTTAAGTTATTTAGTTGAAAATTATGCGGGTGATAGACTTGTTTATCACAATTAAATACTGCAGTGGAAATTCTACGCCACGCCAGGTGGGTATAAGCGAACAGTTGGCATATTTGTCAGCATTCTCTTTGCGATCAGCGAGCAATTAACGTTGTTTGTACTTAGTGCAATCTGTAAAATTTTTTTTTTCTCTTCTATTTACCTCCCTATCATGGGGAGCATTGCGTATGGTCTTAGGCAATAAAGACCCACTTACCCCCAATTGAGTTGGTGTGTATTTAATTGTAAACATTTTATGACTGAAATAAGGGAAAAGTTTTAAACTCCAAATTCACAAAATCTAGCAGGAAGAATAACACAAATTTTGTATTCCAATAGGGCAAGTAATTCATGGCAGTCTCCATATAGACTCCCTGTTACCCAGTCTCCATATAGACTCCCTGTTACCCATTCTCCCTGTGTACCCTGTGTACCCTGTGTACCCTGTGTACCCTGTGTACCCTGTGTACCCTGTGTACCCTGTGTACCCGTGTGTACCCTGTGTACCCTGTGTACCCTGTGTACCCTGTGTACCCACA